GAAGCCCTGGGCTGCTAACAGAAAGGTGTATGAGGGGAAGTTGGAACCCACCGCTGGATCCCAAGCAGAAAAGATCTGGTGATCTGCTCCAGTAATGATTACAGCCTGCAGAACCCTATGGGCAATTCTGTTCTGTCACATGGGGTCACTCTGAGTTGGAATTGACTCAAAGGCACAGAACAGGAACATATCCTCTTAGGTCCATGTAACTTTTAACTGTGGCCTCACATTGGGCAAGCTATCAACATAGATGTATTAATGAATAGCACTGCAACCATCTCATATTTTTCTGCGTGTATACTTTAAAGTACCAACATATTAAAAATATGACTCTTTATAGATTGTGAGAACATTAATTGTTGGTTTCCACAAGCCTTTCACATTGTAAGTGCTCAATAAGTAGGTATATTCAAATCACTCATTCATAGTCTAAATGTAGTTGAATAGCACAGTTCCAATGATTTTCAGAAACATTCTAATGCATCATACTCTCTATTTTGAAGTTTTTTTTTTTTTTTCAATAAACCCTCTGACTATTTCAATCCCCTCTTTAAGAAATCTGTTTTAGTTATTAAAATTTTTCTAATGGATAAATTGAAACAGAAGAAGAATGAAATAATGAGAAGGCTAACCCATTGCAAAAATTATAACCCATGTCCCAGAAAAATTTGTACAAAAATTGATAAGTCAGAATCTATTTTGCTGTGTAAACTTTTACCTAAAACACAATAAACTTTAAAAAAAAATCTACTAAATTCAAGCACTTCATTAAAATCTAAGAGACCTGAGGAGAATATATCTAGATTCTCGATCAGCTTTTTGAGACTTCAAACATAGCTTGGCATTGCATTTTTTCAAAAATTTCAAAAATTTCTGAAGCACTTAGGACTCAATTAGAAATAAGCCTATGGCACTCATTCTATTTTTTTCACTGACAACTTTTACTATTCCCTTTTCAATTCCCTAAAATTTTTCAATGCTTTTCTTAGGTGCTTGAATTATGTTTCTCAATGGTTCCCCATTTATTGCATGATTAGAATAGTCACGGGGATACTGTAGCTTCTTTTTCTTTTTGGTATTGTAGGTTCTTAATAAAATTTTTGAATGACTGATTGCAAGAAAGAAGTGTCTTTATTTTACCTATGATATAATTATCAAACAGTATCATTAATACTACACACAAGTAAATTTTGCTGAAAATAATTTAAAAATTATTACAGCAGTACATTGATAGGGAACTCCCTGAAATTCAAGCCAGATTCAGAAGAGGACGTGGAATGAGGGATATCATTGCTGATATCAGATGGATCTTGGCTGAAAGCAAAGAATACCAGAAAGATGTTTATGTGTGTTTTATTGACTATGCAAAGTCATTCAACTGTGTGGATTATAACAAATTATGGATAACATTGAGAAGAATGGGAATTCCAGAACACTTAATCGTGCTCACGAGGAACTTGTACATAGACCAAGAGGCAGTTTGTTGAACAGAGCAAGGGGATAGTGCATAGTTTAAAATTAGCTCTGGTGGCGTAGTGCCTAAGGCACTTGACTGCTATCCAGAAGGCTGGTGGTTCAAACCCACCAGCCACTCCTTGAAAGGAAGATTGGGCAATCTACTTCCATAGAGATACTGCCTGGGAAACCTGACTGTGAGTCAGAAAACGACTCTACAGCAATGGGTTTGTTGTTGTTGTTTTCACCATACTTATTCAATTGATGTTGAGCAAATAATCCAAGAAGCTAGACCATATGATGAACAATGTGGTATCAAGATTGGAGGAGACTCATTAACAATCTGTGATATGCACATGACAAAATCTTGCTGAAAATGAAGAGGACTGAAGCACTTACTACTGAAGATTAAAGACTACAGCCTTCAGTATGGATTACACCTTGACATAAAAAAAAAAAAAAAATCCTCACAACTCGACCAATAAAAAAGCAACATCATGATAAATGGAGTAAAGATTGAAGTCAAGAATTTCATTTTACTTGAGTCCATGATCAATGTCTATGGGAACAGCAGTCAAGATATCAAATGAAGTATTGCATTGGGCAAATCTGCTTCACAAGACTTCTTTAAAGTGTTAAAGAACAAAGATGTCACTTTGAAGACTAAAGTGCACCTAACACAAGCCATGGTATTTTCAATCACCTCATATACATGTGAAAGCTGGACAATGAATAAGGAAGACCAAAGAAGAGTTGATGCCCTTGAATCCTGGTGTTGGAGAATAATATTGAATATACCATGGACTGCCAGATGAATGAACAAATGTGTCTTGGAAGAAGTACAGCCAGAATGCTCTTTAGAAGCAATCATGGGTAGACTTCGTCACACGTATTTTGATCATATTACCAGGAGGGACCAGTCCCTGGAGAAAGATATCATCCTTGGTAAAGTAGAGGTTCAGTGAAAAAGAAGACACTCAATGAAATAGATTAGCTGCAACAACAGACTCAGGCCTAGCAAAGATTGTGAGGATGGTACTGGATGCGGCAATGTTTCATTCTGTTGCATATAGGTTACTATGAGAACTGCCTTGATAGCCTATAACAACATTGATATTTCAATACAGCACAATACTTACAGGAAAATATTTTTCTGGGATCATATGCCCTGTGATGTACAAGGAATTATATGTTTTGTTACTAAGTGAACTGGTCTCTTTTTCAAACATCATGCAGTTATCAGTCCCTGGTATCTCTTTCCTTCAATATGTTTTTCCTTTTTGTTCTTCCTGTTTAACTTGAGTCTTCTCCCCACTTGCTTAAGGAAATGTAGGGAAAATGTGGTTTTTAATTTTTTGGTTCCCCTCTGTTGTTGTTGTTATGTGCCGTCGAGTCGGACCTGACTCATAGCGACCCCTCCTTGGGTTTCCGAGGCAATATCACTACAGAAGTAGATTGCCCATCTTCCTTCCGAGGAATGGCTGGTGGGTTTGAACCGCCAGCCTTCTGGTTAGCAGTCAAGTGCCTTAGGCACTATGTTATCCCCTCTATACTTCCCTAAATGATTCATCCAAATTTTTCATTTCTAGCAGCTTAATTTCTCAAGCTTACATGAAAACCAAGTTTCAATTCTTAATGTTCTTCAGCCTATCTTTAAATTTTTGTATTTTTCCATATGTTTGAAGGACCTCTAGTATTACCATTAAAATATTAATTTTTAAGGTCTCATTTTAATATTGGTAGAGATGTAGAGCACTATGTCAGCATAAAAAGTCTTGTGTCAACCAACTTATTTCCTATAGAATCTTGGGAAGTCGTGTAATTTCTGTTACCCCAAAAGTATAACAGCTACTTTAATAGCTTACCACTATGATTAAATAAGATAATATGAAGACATGAAAGTGTAATAGCTATTATTTTTAGTATCACTTATATTGAAAGTGAACTCAGTATATGAGCCTGTTCATTACATTTCCAGTAATGGTGTGGAAGTACAAGAAGAAGCTAGATTGAACATGTGCCATCTGCATTGTTTCACTTCTTGCTTAAAACCTTGCCATGGCTTTCTTTTTTCTCTTAGAATGAGATCCAAACACCCATTGTTTGACTCTAGTTTACCTCTTCAGCTTCCTCTTCTCTCTCACTCTTGAAACGCTAAAACCAAAACCAAACCAAACTCACTGCCATCTAAGTATGAGTAAACTCTTCTTCCTTTATCTTGAACATCTGTTTTACTGTCCTGTTGTTGTTATGTGCCATTGATAGGACCCGACTTATAGCGACCCCTCCTTGGGTTTCCTAGGTGGTATCACTATGGAAGTAGGTTGCCCAACCTTCCTTCTGAGGAGTGGCTCATCGGTTTGAACCGCCAACCTTCTGGGTAGCAGTCAAGTGCATTAAGTGCTATGCCACCAAAGGTCCTCTTTTACTGTCTTGGCCTTTGCATATCAATTTCTTATATATAAAATCTTCTTCCCATCATGCAGTCTTAGCCTGAAAAAATTCTTCTCATCTTTCATGCTCCAGATTAAATGGCACATCCTTGGAAGAACTTTCTCAGACCCGGAGAGCTAGATCCCCCTATTGCAACTTTGCAATATGCAGTATATTTTTATATAGCTTTCCACATAGTTTGTATGAACATCTGTTTAAAGTCTGTACACCTCATTAGATGGAAAACCAAATAAGATATATGGACATTGTCTATCTTGTTAGCACAATAAGCCTAACTTCTACTACAAACTCAATAAATGTCTGTGGAAATACCTTAATATAGATAAAACCAACACTGTAAAATTACTGTTAAATAAGTATAGGAGAAAGCAGTGGAAATGTTCTTTGAGTGGCTGTGAAAAGGTGGAAGGAATTTAGTGGCCCTCTGGATCTAACCCCTGAATTCAATTATAATTTTTTTTATCAGTTTATATGAGGTCATCTTTTCATAGCATTTTTCTGACTCTAAAGACAACTCATGCACATTCTACAAAATTTGGGGGGGAATGACAAACACGTAAGATAATTCAGCGTTTCATCATTTAGAGCAAAATATTTTCTTAAGTGCAATAATTACAGAGGGGGTAGAAATACTTCCGCAAAATCGTATGAATGAGGACTTTACTAGGGGCAATCATTTCTTTTAGTTAATAACGCTTTTTACTTCCTTATAGGTTTATTTATTTAGCTTATATTACACAAGTAACCCCTCTAGTAGCGTCAACTGGGTCTAATAAGGAGAATAAGCAGTTTAAAATAAAAACAAGAACTTCACCAATAATTTGAAACTACGAGCCAACGCGTGGTGGCGCTGTTGACTAACAAGGAGAAATAAACTACAACCATTGTGCTTAGCATACTCTGCAGGGCAAAATATCTAGCGCAATAAGCGAAGGTTTGTGGATCTAGGCAGGTTTGTAAGCAAGCAAATCAGAGCCTCTGGAAAGGATTATTCGCCAAACTGTCTCCAAACTTTGGGAATTTTGACTTTCCCAGCGCTGCCTGTCGTTCAGCTTGTCGACATTTCCTGGAAGACCATGGCGGAAAGTGCAATGACAGCCAGAGGGGAGCGCTTTCTCAGACAAAGGCAAGTCCTACTTCTCTTTATTTTTCTGGGTGGGTCTCTGGCAGTGTCCGACTCCGGTCGCTATTCAGTGGCTGAGGAAAAAGAGAGGGGCTTTTTAATAGCCAACCTAGCAAAGGATCTGGGGCTGAGGGCAGGAGAACTGGCCGCGAGGAGGGCCCAAGTTGTGTCCAAAGGGAGCAAACGCCATTTTCAGCTCAACCATCAGACCGGTGATTTGCTCTTGAATGAGAAATTGGACCGGGAGGAGCTGTGCGGCCTCACAGAGCCATGTATACTGGATTTTCAGGTATTGCTGCAAAACCCTTTGCAGCTGTTTACCAATGAGCTCCAGGTCTTAGATGTAAACGACCATTCTCCCGTATTCCTTGAAAAGGAAATGCAGCTGAAAATCCTAGAAAGCACTCCACTGGGAACAAAATTTCCTTTGGAAAATGCTGAGGACTTGGATGTGGGAAGAAACAGTCTCCAAAACTACACGATCGTGCCTAATTCCCCTTTCCACGTTCTTACACGTAGTCGTAGGGACGGAAGGAAATACCCAGAACTAGTGCTGGACAAAGCACTGGATCGCGAGGAGCAGCCGGAGTTCAGTTTAAAGCTCACAGCGTTGGATGGCGGATCTCCTCCGCGGTCTGGGACAGCCCAGATCAACGTCGTGGTCTTAGACATAAATGACAACGCCCCCGAATTTACACAGTCTCTCTATGAGGTTCAAATTCTAGAGAACAGTCCCCTTAACTCTGTCATTGTCACTGTCTCAGCTACTGATCTAGATACAGGAAATTTTGGGACAATAGCATATGCATTTGCTCCTGCTTCTGAAGAAATCCGCAAAACTTTTCAACTAAATCCAATTACTGGTGATATCCAATTAGTCAAATATTTGGATTTTGAGGTGATTAATACTTACGAAGTTGATGTAGAGGCCAAGGATGGCGGAGGCCTTTCTGGAAAATCAACAGTCATAATTCAGGTGTTGGATGTGAACGACAACCCACCAGAACTGACCTTATCGTCAATTAACAGCCCCATCCCAGAGAATTCACTGGAGACGGTGGTAGCTATTTTCAGAATTTCTGATCTAGATTCTGGAGACAATGGGAGGATGATGTGTTCCATCCAGGATGATCTTCCCTTCATCCTGAAGCCATCCATAGAGAATTTTTACACTCTGGTGTCAAAAGGAGTGCTGGACAGAGAGAAGAGGGCCCAGTACAATGTCACTATCACTGTCACTGACTTGGGTACTCCCAGGCTGAAAACACAACACAACATAACGGTGACGGTTTCAGATGTCAATGACAATGCTCCAACTTTCACCCAAACCTCCTACACCCTGTTCATCCGAGAAAACAATAGTCCCGCCCTACACGTGGGCAGCGTCAGCGCCATAGATAGGGACTCTGGCACCAACGCCCTAGTCACTTACTCACTGCTGCCGCCCCAGGACCCACACCTAGCTCTCGCCTCCTTGGTCTCCATCAACGCCCACAACGGGCACCTGTTCGCTCTGAGGTCGCTGGATTACGAGGCCCTGCGAGCGTTCGAGTTCCGCGTGGGCGCGGTCGACGCAGGCTCCCCGGCGCTGAGCAGCGAGGCCCTGGTGCGCGTGGTGGTCGTGGACGAAAACGACAACTCGCCCTTCGTGCTGTACCCGCTGCAGAACGGCTCTGCGCCCTGCACCGAGCTGGTGCCCAGGGCGGCCGACGCGGGCTACCTCGTGACCAAGGTGGTGGCAGTGGACAGTGACTCAGGCCAGAATGCCTGGTTGTCCTACCAGCTGCTCAAGGCCACGGAGCCCGGGCTGTTCAGCGTGTGGGCGCACAATGGCGAGGTGCGCACCGCCAGGCTTCTGAGCGAGAGCGACGCGACCAAGCACAGACTCGTCGTGCTGGTGAAGGACAATGGTGAGCCGCCAATGTCGGCCACCGTCACGCTGCACGTGCTCTTGGTAGATGGCTTCTCCCAGCCTTACCTGCCGCTCCTGGAGGTGGCCCGGGAAGAGGCCCAGGCCGACTGGCTCACAGTCTATTTGGTCATTGCGTTGGCATCAGTATCGTCGCTCTTCCTGTTCTCTGTGCTCCTATTTGTCGCGATGCGTCTGTGCAGAAGGAACAGGGCCTCTTCGGTGGGTTGTTGTCAGATACGTGAGAACCACTGTCAGGGCCACTTGGTAGAAGTCAGCGGCACCGGGACCCTATCCCAGAGCTACCAGTATGAGGTGTGTCTGACCGGAGGCTCCGGAATAAATGAATTCAAATTCCTGAAGCCAATTATTCCCAGTGGGCTGGTTCAAGAGGCTGAGCAAGACTAGAGTAAAACTGCAATTGCAGGAGTGGCTTAAGTTTTCATGCACAAAAGAATCAAAAAGTAGTTATTAGGTGATGCTAGGATTTTTTTTTTTTTTTAAATCAAGAGTGTTTATTTGATATAACATTTTGTCTAAATATTGGTTGCATTTTCTATGTAATTAATCCATTCATAGTCTCTTTTTTTTCTCTTGCTTCCTCTTTTATAATCATAATTCTTTTCTTTTTCAAATAGGTGAGAAAATAAATCCATCATATATTTAATGGTTAATTCAAATAGGTTTTTTTTTAAAAAATAATAATAATTTCAAATTTTATATACAAAGTAATATAGAGAGAGCCCCAAACCACCAATCTTATAATGTATCATGTAGAATATATTCATATAATGTTTTGTATAGTACTCCTAAAACAGCTTTGCCTATGGTTAATGAGGTTTAAGTATAGATAAAGATGTGTTTTATTTGAGATATAGTGGTGTATCATGTTTCAGAAGCATGGGACTCAAATAAAATAGGACATTTCATTCATTTTCTGTGTTGATATTTGCAATTATTATTTCAATGCTGTACATGCAAGTAATGGCCATAGGTGGACAAAAATTATAATATACGGCAAATTACTCTTATGTTTGCCTAAAATGAATTCATGATGGCTGAGGGGAAATAATTAATGTATTTTAAACAATTGATTCTGCTTTTCCATTTGATGTGAAGACATTATTTAGTAAGCTGTCTGGTAGGATGACAACTCAGTTTATAAATTCTGAGATGAAAATGTTATTAACTTTCAGGTCATTTATTATTCTCTAAATGCTTGATAAAGGAGCTCTGGTGGTGTGATGCCTAAGGCATTTGACAGCTAACCGTTCAAACCCACCAGGGGCTCTGCAGAAGGAAGATGACACACAATTTATGTCCTAAAGATTTACAGTCTTGGAAACACAAAGGGAGTCTCTATGAGTTGCTGTTAGTCAAAATCCACTCAATGGCAGTGAGTTTGATTTTTTTTCTAAATGTTTGATGGTAAAAATCACTGGATCCAATCCTGCTTTATTATTAAACCTACTTAACTTTTATGTAGTGATATATGAGGGAAGTATTTTCTTTGTCTCCTTTCTTGATTTGCCCTGCTTCAGATTTAGTTTGACATGATTTAGCATTATATATGATCTTTCTGGGATAATCACTGGCCATAGTATCAACTTTCTACCTCTGACAGTGTAATTAAAAGACGTGCAAGAATGGGAAGTTCTGATGAGGACAGTGTCATTAAGAAAACATAAGTTAGCCACGATTAAGAATAAAATCCAGAAACAGTCAAAATCTCAAATCTTCATGCAATTTCAGTGATATAAGAAAAGCTTGTGTTAAGTTACAAAATATTTTTTCTTTAACTAGAGAAATTTATCAGGACAAAATAAATTTTCATAAGCACTTTCTCAGGCAGAGAGAAATTGTATACTCATAATCAGAAGAGTGAGAACTGAAGTTTCTTTAAAAAAATTGGGAATTCCCAAAATGGAAAATGAATTTAAGATTGCTATGACTTCAGTCATTTGTTAGAGTTTAGTTATGATCGTATTAAAATAGCATCATTTTATGTAACTAAGAATTGAATGCATAAATCCTTAATAATCGAGGAAATAATAGGATTATAAATGATGGGTCTCCTTTCACTCATTATAAATGGTTTCCTCATTAAGTATTTTATAGAGATGTCTTGAATCTGACTCTTTGGTTTAGAATTTTTCTTCTTTTCACACTAAACTGAGTTTCCATGAAGATCAACAAGAAGGTACAGAATGACGATCAAGAATTCTCTTTAATTGAGTGGCTTAGTGCCAGAGTCAGGGAAGTATTCAATGGTGGGAAGTATAAAGGTAGTTCCTTTTTTTTTTATTTTTTTATTTTTCCAGTATGAGTTGGGTGAAGGTATTTCCTTTTTGGTAAATGATCTAGGACCAACATTGGAGGACCCATAGTCTGAGAAGTCACTTAGTCTCTGAAGATAAAAATAACAGATACAATCCATAACTTTATGCCTTAAGAAACTACAAAAAGAAGAACAAACAAAACACAAATCAGAAGGAAAGAAAATAAAGATTGGAGTGGGAATAAATAGGAAAAAAAAAGAGCAATAGAGAAAATCAACAAAACCAAAAGACAGTTCTTTTAAAAGGTCAGCAAAATTGGCAATCCTTCAGCCAGACTTAGAGAGAGGGCTCAAATTACTAAACTCAAGAATGAAAGAGAGACATTGCTACCTGCCTTACAGGTACAAAATGGATTATAAGGTAACAATACAAACAGTCAAGTCAGTAAATTAGAAAACCTCAATGAAATGGACAAATTCCTAGACACATACAAACTACCAAAACTGACTGAAGAAGGAACAGAAAATGCCAACAGACTTAGAATAAGTGAAGAGGTTGAATCAGTAATCAAAATAATTTTCCACAAAGAAAAGCCCAGGACCAAATGGCTTCACTACTGAATTCTACCAAACATGTAAAGATTTAACACAAACTCTTCCAAAAAATAGAAGAGCAGTGACCACCAATTCCCAACCTATTCTACGAGGCCAGGATTACCCTGATACCAAAACCAGACAAAGATATCACAAGCAGAGAAAATTACAGACCAATGTGCCGTATGGGAACACCATGCTTGGTAAAGTAGAGGGTCAATGAAAAAGAGGAAGATACTTAAAAGGATGGATTGACACAGTGGCTGCAACAATGGGCTCAAATGTAGCAATGATTGTGAGGATGGGGCAGGGCTGGGCACTGTTCCGTTCTGTTGTACAGACTCCATGGCACAACAACAAGCAGTAAATGAAAATTGTTCAAAACTGGAAGTCTTAATACTGTTAGAATGGCAATATCCCCCCAAATAGGTCCTCAGATTCAGTGCAATAACTATCATATATAAGAGAAATCCTTTATCTTAACAAAGTTTTATGATTTTAAAACAGTTGGTTTTATCTTGATATGACCCTGATAATAATCAAGTAGAATAATTATGTCCAAGCTCTAGTTTCCTTATCTGTGGAACTCCTTTCATTTTCTCTCTGGATCTGAGAATCTGTGATTCCAACACTATCTGCTTGACTTCTAAGTCTAATGTGGTTTCACGTTGTAAGATGACTTACCACAAAGCAAGGTGCCTCTTTATTCAACTATATTACTATTTACAGACCAACATAAGAAAATAAAACCTGAAAAAGTATTCTTCCTTTAAGTCATATGGTACAGAACACCTTAACAAACTTTTGCATCATCCTAAAGTCTTCACACACTTGAAAAAGCATAGATAACTATTATTAATTAGATTGACACTTTTAAAGAGCTTATCCCCCCCTGGTTAGATTATGCAAAGGGGAAATGCAGTTCTTTGAAGGTCCACTGATAAGGTTGTGGGGAGATTGATATATTATTTTGCTTTGTGCTCACAATGATTCTAGTTCATGGAATTTAGTGAAATAACCGTATATAGTATGCAATTTAATGAAAATAAGGTTTGTAAGATCTCTATGCACCAAAGCTAAAGTGACTGATTTCAACACTTGGTGCTTTGACTTGGAAATATTAATTTCTCAATCGAGACGCAGGGTGGCGCTGCAGGCTAAGATTGTGAGTAAAGAGCCCTAAAAAGCTTGCAGATTTCTTTGTACTTCAGGACACAAAAGCTCAGGAGAGAAATTTGCAAGCAGTACGAGGTTCCCAACAAGTTTGGGCAACAATATACTGAGCAAATTTAAGATTATAAACAACTTTGTGACGATTATTTCAGCGAGAAATCAAAACTGAATGTCTGCAGTCTTTTTTGTGTTTGCTGAAAGGGATTGGCTGTTTGCATCCGGAATCTAAAATGGAGGCACTAGAGAGAATTCAACCAAACAGGCAAGTAGTAGTCTTTATTTTAATGGTGTTCTTGTCTCAAACTCGCTCAGAGCCCATTCGTTATTCTATGCTGGAAGAAACAGAGAGTGGCTCCTTTATAGCTAATCTGGCCAAAGACCTGGGCCTGGGAACTGGGGAACTGGCCGCCCGGTCCGCCCGGGTGGTCTCTGACGATGACAAGCAGCGTTTGCAGCTGGACCGTCAGACTGGAGATTTACTTCTGAGGGGGAAACTAGACCGGGAGGAGCTATGTGGCCCTATTGAACCGTGTGTGCTGCATTTTCAAGTGTTCCTAGAAACACCTGTGCAATTTTTTCAAGGAGAATTATTGATCCAGGACATAAATGACCACTCTCCAGTATTCTCTGATAGGGAAATGCTCTTGAATATCTTGGAGAACAGTCGGCCAGGGACTCTGTTTCCATTGAAATCAGCTCAGGATTTGGATGTGGGCAGCAATAGTCTTCAAAAATACACAATTAGTCCCAATTCTCATTTTCATGTTCTCACTCAGAATCATAGTGAGGGCAAGAAATACCCAGATTTGGTGCAGGACAAAGCGCTGGATCGAGAGGAGCAGCATGAGTTGAGTTTAACTCTCATAGCGTTGGATGGTGGGTCTCCACCAAGGTCTGGTACTGTCATGGTCCGAATCCTGATCATAGATGTCAATGACAATGCCCCCGAGTTTGTGAACACACCATATGAAGTGCAGGTCCTGGAAAATAGTCCACTGGACTTCCCAATAATTAGAGTCTTGGCTAGGGATGCAGATGCTGGAAAATTTGGAAGCGTTTCCTACAACTTGTTCCAAGCATCAGATGAAATTAAACAAACTTTCTCAATAAATGAAGTCACAGGAGAAATCCGACTGACCAAAAAATTGGATTTTGAGAAAATTAACTCTTACCATGTGGAAATTGAGGCTACAGATGGAGGGGGCCTTTCCGGGAAAGGCACTGTGGTCATAGAGGTGGTGGACGTGAACGACAATGCCCCGGAGCTGACCATATCTTCACTCACCAGCTCCATCCCAGAGAATGCTCCTGAGACAGTAGTCTCTATTTTCAGAATTCGAGATAGAGATTCCGGAGATAATGGAAAGATGATTTGCTCTATTCCAAGTAACTTGCCATTCATTCTAAAACCAACTTTCAAGAATTTCTACACCCTGTTAACAGAGAGTCCGTTGGACAGAGAGCAAACAAATCAGTACAACATCACCATCAGTGTCACTGACCTGGGTACCCCCAGACTGAAAACCGAACACGAGATAACCGTATTGGTATCAGACGTCAATGACAACGCGCCCACCTTCACCCAAAACGTATACACTTTGTTCATCCGCGAGAACAACAGCCCCGCCCTGCACATCGGCAGCGTCAGCGCCACAGACAGAGACTCGGGCACCAACGCACAAGTCACCTACTCTCTACTGCCGTCCCAGGACCCTCACTTCCCTCTTGCCTCCTTGGTTTCCATCAACTCAGACAACGGGCACATGTTCGCTCTGAGGTCGCTGGATTATGAGACGCTGCGAGGGTTCGAGTTCCGCGTGGGCGCGGCAGACGCAGGCTCCCCGGCGCTGAGCAGCGAGGCGCTGGTGCGCGTGGTGGTCGTCGACGACAACGACAACTCGCCCTTTGTGCTGTACCCGCTGCACAACGGCTCTGCGCCCTGCACGGAGCTGGTACCCAGAGCAGCGGAGGCTGGCTACCTGGTGACCAAGGTGGTGGCAGTAGATGGTGACACAGGCCAGAACGCCTGGCTGTCCTACCAGCTGCTCAAGGCCACGGAGCCCGGGCTGTTCAGCGTGTGGGCGCACAATGGCGAGGTGCGCACCGCCAGGCTGCTGAGCGAGCGCGACGCGGCCAAACACAGACTCGTCGTGCTGGTGAAGGACAATGGCGACCCGCCAATGTCGACCACCGTTACGCTGCACGTGCTCCTGGTGGACGGCTTCTCGCAGCCCTACCTTCCGCTCCTGGAAGTGGCACCGGATGAAGTGGCGGACTCGCTCACTATCTACTTGGTCATTGCATTGGCGTCTGTCTCGTCGCTCTTCCTGTTGTCGGTGCTGCTGTTCGTCGCTGTGCGGCTGTGCAGGAGGAACAGGGCTGCTTCTCTGGGTCGCTGCTCAGTGCCCGAGGGCCACTTTTCTGGCCACTTGGTGGACGTTAGCGGCAGCGGAACCTTGTCTCAGAGCTACCAGTACGAAGTATGCATGACGGGGGATTCTAGGACTGGTGAGTTCAAATTTCTGAAGCCCATAATCCCCAACCTCTTGGTATCAAATACTGGGAGAAAAGTGAACGGAAACTGTAGGAATAGCTTTGTATGCAGTTAAGTATTGTATTTGGTCCAGTGAATCGCTCATTAATTTTGGCAAATCTAACTTTAATTAAATGGCCCATTAGAAGTTATGTTGCTGTCTAAATTCATACCACTATTCCAACCTATGCATGTCTCCGATAGTGTTAAATCTGTTCCTTTTTAAGCTGATATTAGTTGCACTTAATATTTTTAGTTATAATGAATATTAAGTATGTATTTTCTGCATATGTGATCTTCACTTGGAGATTCATGGTTCCATAATTATACATTACCTAAGTAGAATAAGAAAAAAAAAATTAAACAATTTCTTAAATTAGTTACTGCGTTTTATTAATAAAACATTTTATAGCTTTTAGGTAATCTTGCATTTCTACACGTTTCTGGTGGTTGTCTTTACCACATAAATATCTTTGCAAGGGTAGAGCGTTTCAAATTCTCCATAGATACCGAAGCCTTTCTTGTTAACTATGCATGGCTAAACCACCCGAATAGCCTGAACATGTAACTTAGCATATTTGTTTCTCCCAAATTTTATGTAAACATGAACTTTACTAAATATCAATATACTAAAAGTGTGACTCTTCTTCCATTGTGAGCACTATATATGGTAGATAGAATCTTACTGATTTGGTTGCTACCTACCTAGTACATTGTAAGTGCTCTCTTAAGTACTCACCAATGTCAAATTTGCAAAAATTATTGCCATCTTTCTAAATAATAATGAAGAGAAAATCTCATATAATTTGATATCCCTTTCACTAAATAAAACTCTTAATTCACTGCTTGATATACTCCTTTTTTAAAAAAATCTCATAACTTTAAATGTACCCTAAATCCTTTAAAAGAATTTAAGATTCTTCATGGCATGATGTTTCTCTTTGGTGTATAAAAATAGACATTCAAGTGAAGTTAAATGCATGAATTTCTCTTGGATTTCCTGCAGCTTCTCTCCATCTTTCAAAGGATTGTTTCTTCTGAACATTTGCTGTTCTAGAATGTTCGAGACTAATTATCAGATTATCTCAGATTTTCACTTTAAATTAAGCATAGACATGGGCAGTCTTTATCAACAAAATAATGGCTTTTTTTATTTTCAAGTTCTGTTCTTTTTCTTAAATATAGCTTTCAAGTATTTTGTGTGAAATTACTTTTTTCAAATATGCTGAAGTTGCATTTGTATGAAATAAAAATTATTTTGTCCCTGAATAAATAAGAACAATGATTAACTGAATTATAATAGTTTTATGTTGTGTTCAAAAAGTCAAGTAAGCTGATTATGTGATTTCCAACTAGCTAAATTTATACAGACCCTCTGACACTGAGTTGATTCTGACTTACAGGACCCTATAGGACAGAGTAGAACTGCCCCCATAGGGTTTAAATCTTTACAGAAGAAAACTTCCTTATCTTTCTCCCAAGGAGTAGCTGGTGGGTTAGAACCACTGGCTTTTTGGTTAGCAGCTGAACGTTTTAACCAGTTCACCAACAGAGATCCTCTGTGTGCCTAGCAAATAATCTGAGAAGCTAGACTATATGAAGAATGCAGCATCAGGATTGGAGGAAGACTCATTAAAAACCTGTGATATGCAGATGACACAACCTTGCTTGCTGAAAGTGAAGAGGACTTGAAGCACTTACTGATGAACATCAAAGACTACATTCTTCCATAGAAGCTCTGGTAGCATAGTGCCTAAGGCACTTAACTGCTAACCAGAAGGCTGGCAGTTCAAACCCACCAGCCACTCCTCAGAAGGAAGGCTGGGCGATCTACTTCTGTAGTGATACCCAAGAAGGGGTCACTATGAGTCAGGTCTGACTCAACAGCACATAACAACACAACAACAGGCTTCCATATGGATTACACTTCAACATAAGAAAACAAAAAGTCTGACCACTAGACCAATAAGCAACATCATGATAAATAGAAAAAAGATTGAAATTATCAGGGATTTCATTTTACCTGGATGCAAAATCAACATTCATGGAAGCAGCAGTCAAGAAATCAGACTTAATGCACTGGGGAAATCTGCTGCAAAAGACCTCTTAAAAGTGTTTAAGAGCAAAGATGCCACTTTGTAAACTAGGGTGTGCTTGACCCAAACAATGGTATTTTCAATTGCTTCATGTGCATGTGAAAGCTAGACAATGAATAAGGAAGACTGAAGAAGAATTAATGCCTTTGAATTGTGGTGTTGGTGAAGAAAACTGAAAGTACCATGGACTGCCAGAATAATAAACAATTATGTTGTGGAAAAAGTATTGCTGGAATGGTTCTTAGAAGGAAGAATGGCCAGACTTTGTCTCTCGTACTTTGATCATGTTGTTAGAAGGGACCGGTCCTTGGAGAAGGATATCATGGTTGGTAAAATAGAGTCAGTGAAAAAGGGGAAGACACCAAATGAGATGGATTGACGCAGTGACTGCAACAATGGGCTCAAGTGTAGCAAATATTGTGAGGATATTTCAAGACTGGCAGCTTCCTTCTATTGTACATAGGGTTGCTATGAGTTGGTGGCAAATCAACCTAGCAACAGCAACTTCATATAGATAAATTTACAGAGATTTATATAGATCACCACATTAGACTATTGATACAATATGAGCATTAAAGAGCTTACTTTATAATCCACTTATTTTTTGAAATACCAAGTATTATTCTACTATAGTTTAAGTATATATATTTTTCTCTAAACCACTATTTTTCCTAAGGGTGTAACAAAAAAAAAAAATAATAATAAAGAAGGCATACTGACTGTTCATGTTATTCTGAAAACATAGCTTTTAGTTTTCATCCAATCTCAAAATTGAAATGAGGAAGTGATAAAAGTGAGAATGGAATTAAACACAAATTTATAGACATAAATATAGGCAACTTCCATGTCTTTCTTTATTATTAGCTATTAAATTAAATGTGGCAAAGTGCCTAAGGCATTTGACTGCTAAACAGAAGGCTGGTTGTTCAAACCAACCAGCCACTCCTCAGAAGGAAGATTGGGCAATCTACTGCCATAGTCATACCACCTCAGAAACCCAAGGAGGGGTTGCTATGAGTTGGATCCGACTTGATGGCAGTTTTTTTTTTTTTAATTAAATTAAATAGCTTTTATGTTTGATGACAAGTAAGAAATCTTATAGAAGTTTTCACGAATGTATTTCAGTATCACAAAAATCAAAGTTCACTTTTTTTGTTTTATACCAGGAAACTCCAATTTGTAATCACCCAAATGAGACTGGCCAAAAAACAGAACTCACATCATAAAACATGGGTCATTTGTTATCAGTGAAGGTCCACAACCAGACGTTAGTGTAGAATCCATTGACTTTTTTAAAAAATTTAATTATAAAGATTTAGAATATATATGATCCAAATAACAAAATAATATACTTTCTGAAAACTATGTCAATTCCATTGTTGAACAAATGGAGGTCAAATGTCTTGATAATAACACCCATTTTAATCATACATATTTTCTTAAATGTTTCTATTATATGTGCATGTTTCACAATTCCTTTATTGTTTTTAGATGCAGCATTTAATTAATTTAATGCATGCTGTATGGGGAATGGAAGTTCTACTCAAAGCAATGTAGCCAACAATCTTTAAGATCTTCTCTTCCTTGACTGCCAAAGGTTACAAACATAGATTTTAAATAGTTTGAGGTTAAAAGTTATGCCCATATTTGGTGGAGCTCTGCTTCCAGGTTAAATGGATTATCTAGCAGCAGAAAACAACTATAAATTCTGGTTAAAATTCAGATATCATTTGTTTGAAATATTAGAAAGCAGATGATACAATAGGAACTGAAGAAGCTAAAGATTCCTGGAAAGGAGAATCCTTGGAGATGTGAATTGACTTCTATAGTCAATTTTACTGTGAGAAAATATGCTAAGTCTGAGAATAGAAAAAATTTCTCCTTTTAGGGACGGAGTACCCTCAATAGCTATTGGCAGATTGAGATTCCAAACTTATGGCCACTTTTCCACCTCAAGACACTGGGACAGTCCAGAGAAGATGATTAAAAACTAGGCAAAGTGAAGCTTTAATACCCTTGCTGTACTAGATTAGAATTTAAGACCTCATGGAACCTGGCTGTGGAGAATATACCAAGTTCTCTATTGAAAATTCAAGACTGCAAAGAAAGTTGATGAACAGAATGCTTCTTAGACTCAGGCCATTTTATTAGCCACAGAGAAAAATGTAAATTCTTTCTGGATGAAGATAATATCATCTGGATCCTGGACATTTTTCACATAAATATTCAGTATTCAATTAAAAAAAAAATTACTAAGCATGCACCAAAAAACCCTGGATGACATGGATAAAACCAAGAGCAAAAACAGCATGAATGACTCATGCTGTTTTTAACTGAATTAACTGACAATGATGATAAGTAAGAATGACTTATTGAGATTTGAAAATGAAAATTAATTTCAGAACTGAGAAATATTTGAAATGAAAAATGATTTATATGTTTTAAGGGCATGTTATTGTTGTTGTTATGTGCCATTGAGTCAGACCCAACTCATAGTGACCCCTCCTTGGGTTTCAGAAGTAGATTGCCCAACCTTCCTTCCAAGGAGTGGCTGGTGGGTTTAAGGGCATAGGATATATAAAAGACTACAGGATGAATGAATGAAAGGCAGATCAATATAAAATATCCAAACAGAAACACAGAGGAGAAAAAAAAAATGAAAAATAGAGAAAAGAACATTAGTGACATGTGAAACATAATAAAAATTTTTAATATATATATATGTGTGATTGGAATCCTAAACTGAAAAGAGAGGATAAGAATGGAGAATAAGCAATGTTTTAAGAGAAATGACCAAAGATTTAACAAAACTGATGAAAAACCTTCACTTCTTGAAGTACTCAGTGAAACACCATCAGGATAAATAAAAAACAAAGTACAACTAGGCACATGATAGGAAGGCAACTGAAGGTCAAAGCCAAGGAGAAAATCTCCAAAACAATCACAGGAAAATGTCACATTACATTTGTTGTTGTTAGGTGCCTTTGAGTTGGCTCCAATTCACAGTGGCCCTATGCACAACAGAAAGAAATACTTCCTGGTCATGCACCATCCTTATGATCCTTGATATACTTAAACCTATTATTGCAGCCACTGTGTCAATCCATCTTGTTGAGAGTCTTCCTCTTTTTCACTGACTCTCTACTTTACCAAGCATGATATCCTTCTCCAGGGACCGGTCCCTTCTGACAACATAACCAATGTAGGTGAGATGAAGTCTGGCCATTATGGCTTCTAAGGAGCATTCCAGCTGACATTACATTTAAAGGAGCAATGATAAGTTGAAGAGCTGACTTTTTAACATAAATTATGAAAAAGAAGACAAAGGAATATTCTCTTTAAATTCTTGAAATAAAATAACTACCAAACTACAATTCTATTACCTTATAAAAAAGGAATGAAGTTTTCAGATACACAAATACCTACACTAAACCAAAAAACAAACCAAACTCATGGCTGTAGAGTCGAATCTGACTCATAGTGACCCCTTCTTGGGTTTCTGAGGTGGCATCACTGCAGAAGTAGATTGCCCAACCTTCCTTCCAAGGAGTGTCTGGTGGGCTTGAACTGCCAGCCTTAGAAATACTAATTTGAATTAATGTGACATAGGGAAAAGAATGCTAAAAGAATAACAGAATTTCAAGAAGGAGTGAAGAACAACAGGAAAGAGAAATATAAATTAATTGTGACAGAATATTGTCAATACAGGGCAATAATAGTAGTTTCTTAAAGGGTTTTAAATGTGTACGAAATCTAAATTCATAATATCAATAACTTCAAAGGCAGAAGGGATAAATGGAGTTTACCTTTACTAAGGTTGGATTTGGTAAGGTTTTAGGCATTATTATGAAAGTGGAAAATAATAATTTGTGTTGAAAGCTTGTAAGTTAAAACCCAAACCAAAAAACCCACTGTCATCAACTTGATTCTGACTCATAGAGACCCCTGCATTGGGTTTCCAAGGCTGTAAATCTTTATGGAAGTACATTGCCTCATATTCCTCCCACAAAGAAGCTGGTAGGTTTGAACCACCAACCTTCTGGTTAGCAGCCAAATTCTTTACCCACTGCACCACCAGAGCTCTTTGTGAGTCATAGATGCAGGCTATAATCTCTTGGTTCATTGGTTGGTATGTGCTGTTGAGTCGGACCTGACTCTTAGCAACCCCTCCTTGGGTTTCTGAGGCAGTATCACTATGGAGGTAGATTGCCCCATCTTCCTTCCGAGGAGTGGCTGGTGGGTTTGAACCGCCAGCTTTCTGGTTAGCAGTCAGGTGCCTTAGGCACTAAGAATAAATAAATACCTAAAATAGTAAGTAAAGAAAACTTGATAACAAATAATTTGAAATAATCAAAAAGAAAACAAGAGCCACAAACAAAAACTAAATTAATTATTTTTAATTAGATGGTAAATATAAACAGAAAGATATAAAATATTACATACATTAAATGCAGTTAGACTAAACAGTCCAACTTAAAAAAAAATAAAACAGAGTGGGAGATGATATTTGCAATACATACATCTGAAAAAAGGACTTATGTCCAGAATATTTAAGGAAATTCTATAGAATAAGAAGAAAAGGGAATTTCCTCAAATAAAAAAATAGACAAAAGATTTGAATATGTACATAGAAAGATATCTAAATGGTCAATAAAGATGTGAAATGTGCTCAATTTAAATAATTATCATGAAATGGTAATTATAATTACAATATGACACCACCACATACTCACTCAGTGTCTAAAATGAAAAAGATAAAATCAAATGTTAACAAGGATATGGAGCAACTGGAACTCTAGTTTTGGTATAACTACTTTTGAAAACTGCTTCACAATATCTGCTAAAGCTAAGTATACATGCATAACTTAATGCACAGTAATCCCACTCCTAGGAATATATCCACCATAAATACATAAATATAACCACCAAAAGACCTGTACAAGTATGACCATAGAAGCACTAATCAGAATTTTCCCACAGTGAAAGTCCAATGTCCATTAACTGGAGAATGATAAACAAATTTTAGTGCATTCATAAAATAGAATAATATAAGCCAATGAGAGTAAAACTAATTAGAACAACATGCAGCAGATGAACTTCACGAACATAATGTTGAGTGAAAGATGCTAGACACAAAAAAAGTAAATAGAATTCAATTTATATAAAAGTTCTCCCCCAAAGAGAAAATTTATGATCATAATGCTTACCTTTAGGGGGGTAGTGACCAAACAATAGCAGGAAGGGGTTTCTTAAGTTTTGGTAATATTTTCTTTTTTTTAATATAGATTCTGCTTATATTAATGTATTTACTTGGTGAGAAGCCATTGAGTTGTACACTTAGGATTTGTGCCTTTCTGGATGTATGTGGTACTTAAAAATAAATTTAAAAGTTTTTATAAAAATTTACATCCATTATAATTTTTCTTGGCTATAATCAAATAAGAAACCCACAAAACGTAATTTATTCATGTACTCAAGAGGTACGTTTATGGAGAATACTAATTTATTCATGTACTCAAGAGGTACGTTTATGGAGAATGTTGTTGTTGTTGTTATGTGCCGTCGAGTCGGCCCCGACTCATAGCGACCCCTCCTTGGGTTTCCGAGGCAGTATCACTACGGAAGTAGGATTGCCCAACCTTCCTTCCGAGGAGTGGCTGGTGGGTTTGAACCGCCAGCCGTCTGTTAGCAGGCAAGTGTCTTAGCCACTATGCTACCAGAGCTCCCTTATGGAGAATACTAACATATAATTTTAGTTTGTTCTCAAAAATATTCTTTCATTGAAAATTCACTCAGCAAATATTTATTTAGATCTTCTAATAACAGTTGGAAATATTATGAGAAATGCTTCTGTGATTCAAAAGAATTTTGATACCTACAAGGTTTCAAGTTTGGAATGAAAAGGCAAATACTATATGTAGTATTTTAAAAAGACACCTGGTGGCGCTGCAGGCTAAGAGTGTGAATAACAGTTTGTGGATCCCCCCACCAGGCGCCATTAAGCTGGGAATCAGAACTCTAAATGCTTACTAAAAGAAAGCATGTTAGGTAAGCTCTAGGGACAGAGGTCTTCAGAGAGGGCATACCAGTGCAAATCAGAATCAGGAATATCTAATTCAAGGTTATTTAACCAAATCTTCTGGATTGATCGTATACCGAGCTGAGGAAACTGATTTTCTGGACCAGGACTGAACAATGGAGACTGCGCTAGCAAAAACGCCGCAGAACAGGCAAGTTACCTTTCTTGCTATACTGTTGCTTTTGTGGGAGGCTGACTCTGAGGCAGTTAGGTATTCCATGCCAGAAGAAACAGAAAGTGGCTCCATTGTGGCCAACCTGGCAAAAGACCTGGGACTCGGGGTGGGGGGATTGGCCACTCGGGGCGCGAGAATCCATCACAAAGAAAACAAACAGCTCTTGCAGCTTGATGTAAAGACCGGTAATTTGCTTCTATACGAAAAACTAGACCGGGAGTTGCTGTGCGGGGCGACAGAACCCTGTGTACTGCATTTCCAACTATTACTGGAAAACCCGGTGCAGTTTGTCCAAATTGAACTGCAGCTCAACGATATAAATGACCATTCCCCAGAGTTCCTAGAGAGTGAAATGCTCCTTAAAATCCCAGAGAGCGTTCAGCCAGGGACTGTGTTTCCTTTGAAAACAGCTCTGGACTCTGACATAGGTAGCAACACTGTTCAGGACTACACAATTCTCCCCAACTCCCATTTTCACGTTCTGACGCATAATCGCGGAGATGGCAGAAAATACCCGGAGCTGGTGCTGGACAAAGCCCTGGATCGGGAGGAACAGCCTGAACTCCGTTTAACCCTCACTGCCCTGGATGGGGGGGCTCCGCCCAGGTCTGGGACCACCGCAGTCCGCATTGAAGTCGTTGACATCAATGACAACGCCCCTGAGTTTTCACAGCCACTCTATGAGGCAAAGGTCCTGGAGAGCAGCCCCCTTAAATCTTTAGTTGTCGCTGTCTCTGCCCGAGATTTAGATGCAGGAACATACGGGAATGTAGCCTACTCTCTCTTCCAAGGAGATGAAGTTACGCAACCATTTGTAATAGACGAAATTACGGGAGAGATTCGTCTGAAAAGGATATTGGATTTCGAGGCAACTCGATATTATAACGTGGAAATAGTAGCCACAGATGGCGGGGGCCTTTCAGGGAAATGCACTGTAGCTGTGGAAGTGGTAGATGTGAACGACAACGCCCCCAAACTGACCATGTCTACCATCACCAGCCCTACTCCAGAAAACGCCCCGGAAACTGTAGTTGCTGTTTTCAGTGTTTCAGATCCAGACTCCGGGGACAACGGAAAGATGATTTGCTCCATCCAGGACGACCTCCCATTTCTCCTGAAACCCACATTCAAGAATTTTTACATGCTAGTGACAGAGAGGCCACTGGATAGAGAAAGCAGAGCCGAGTACAACATCACTATCACCGTCACAGACTTGGGGTCCCCAAGACTGAAAACAGAGCACAACATAACCGTGCTGGTCTCTGACGTCAATGACAACGCACCCACCTTCTCTCAAAGCTCCTACACCCTGTACATCCGGGAGAACAACAGCCCCGCCCTGTACATTGGCAGCGTCAGCGCCACAGACAGAGACTCAGGCACCAACGCCCAAGTCACCTACTCGCTACTGCCACCCCAGGACCCGCACCTACCCATTGCCTCCTTGGTCTCCATGAACGCGGACAACGGGCATCTTTTCGCTCTGAGGTCGCTGGATTACGAGGCCCTGCGAGCCTTCGAGTTCCGCATGGGCGCGGTCGACTCAGGCTCCCCGGCGCTGAGCAGCGAGGCCCTGGTGCGGGTGGTGATCTTGGACGAAAATGACAACTCGCCCTTTGTGCTGTATCCGCTGCAGAACGGCTCCGCGCCCTGCACCGAGCTGGTGCCCAGGGCGGCCGACGTGGGCTACCTGGTGACCAAGGTGGTGGCAGTGGACGGCGACTCCGGCCAGAACGCCTGGCTGTCCTACCAGCTGCTCAAGGCCACGGAGCCCGGGCTGTTCAGCGTGTGGGCGCACAATGGCGAGGTGCGCACCGCCAGGCTGCTGAGCGAGCGCGACGCGACCAAGCACAGACTCGTCGTGCTGGTGAAGGACAATGGTGAGCCGCCAATGTCGGCCACCGTCACACTACACGTGCTCCTGGTGGACGGCTTCTCGCAGCCCTACCTCCCGCTCCTGGAGGTGGCCAAGGAATTGACCCAGGCCGACTCGCTCACCGTCTACTTGGTCATTGCTTTGGCCTCGGTCTCGACCCTCTTCCTGTTCTCGGTGCTCCTGTTCGTCGCGGTGAGACTGTGCAGGAGGAACAGGGCCGCCTCTGTTGGTCGCAATCCAGTACCTGAGAGCTACTTTCCAGACCACTTGGTGGATGTCACCAACACTGGGACACTCTCCCACAGCTATCAGTATGAGATATGTCTGACAGGAGACTCCGGGACCAATGACTTCAAATTCCTGAAGCCGATTATCCCCAATCTCCCACCCCAGAGCACTAGCAAAGAAATTGATAAAAACACCACATTCCGGAATAGCTTTGGATTCAATTAGGAATTTGATCATGATACAAGTTGTTCTGGCATTTATCCTTAACTTCCCTACATATAGAGTTTGAAAGTGTCATGGAGAAGGCTATACCTGACAGAAGGTCATACCTCCACCTTCAGGTATAGTCTTGACTTTTTTTTTTTTTTTTTTTGTAATGGATTTGTCCGTTGAGCTTTCTCTTATCCAAATTTGGAAAAGTCAGTGTAGATTCATTTACATTTGTTTACATAGTGTCTATTCCAAATCGATGTATCACATTGATTCTCCTGAAAATTTTGCTCTTTTTATTGGAATTTGTCATGATGAATCATCTTAATAAATTCAAATGTTAATTGTATTTTCTCAGTATTCTGTTTCATAAAATGCTACATATATTTGATGATAAATAGCAAAATTAAGAAGTTTACATAATTTTGTTTTAGATGCTTTCCAAGGAATACATGCATACAGCAAGTTGATATGTGAGAAAGCATTATGGAGAAAGGCAACAATATCCTCCTTCCTCTTCTTCCCTAACCCTGATTCTCATTGGCTAACATTTTAAAAACAAAGTTCTTCATTGATTTACATACCTTTATGATGTTCAGCTCAATCTGTTTTCACAAAGTGAAAAAACTTGGTACCAGTAGCTTGATGAAAAAAGAAAACATTACCAGCACTTCAGATTCTACACAAATTGCCCCTTACAATCACTACAAACCCAAGTGAGGATAACAGAGATCCTCATTTTCAATATCATGGGTTAGTTATGCCTGTTTTGAATTTATATAAATGGAATATTACAGAGCATGAACTGTTTCGTGGCTGGCTTCTTTTCACATGGTACTTGTTAACTTTATCCATGATACTACTTTTAATTTTAGTGCTTTCATTCTCATTACTATACAGACTTCCAATGTCTAAATATGCCTTGGATGTATTATCCATCACACTGTAGATGAATGTTTGGGTTCGTGCAGGGTTTGCCTATTATGAACCATGCTGCTCTCCTCATTCTTGTACATATCTTTTGGCAAATGTGTATGCATTTCTGAATTGGATGCTTTCAAGGAAGTAGGAGTGATTCTATGATCTTAATTGATTTTTATTTAGGAAGTAGGAAAAACAAAATGAGTTGAAACTTTAATTGGTAAAGAAGTGACATTCAGTCATGTTAGCCAGGAAGTGGGGCTCTCTGGTCATTTTTGTGGTTTGGGCAGTGTTTTTGTTTTTATCATGTTATGCTCAAACATGATTGTGAAGTAATCTTATTTTTATCTTGCTCCATCAGAGTCACAGTAGTCCTCCTGGTGTTAGTTTTCTGGGAAAATTTTTATGTTCAATAGGAGAAGACCATTGTGAGTGCCAGGCCAATTCCTGGTTGTCAGAAACTGGTTTTCTCAAAACATTGTTCATTGCAGAGCCACATTACTTAGTGATAAATACTATATTTCCTGCTCTTTGACTCCAGTATTGTGCTTCCTGTGTCAAAGTAGAATATTCTCAAAATCAAAATCAAATAGATTCACCATTTTAGATTCTAATAGTCGGCTTTACCATATCTTTAAATATTTTCTAAGTGTCTATAATTCCATTTCCCCTACTTAAAGATCTTTATCTTTCTGCTCCCATCTGGACTGAATGATTTGTAAGCCAGTACAGGAAGTCTCAGGTTATGAACATACAACTCATGTACAACCTGTAGTTACAAGCCAATCCCTATAAAGCCTATGATATTAAAAATTTAAGGTTACATACAATGGTTCATAGTAATAAATTGGCACTACTTTAAGACATACATCAAAACATTATTATTATTATTATTACTATATTATAGATATGTTTTAGTGTATCTGGAAGTGGTGTTTCTTTAATGTTTTTTATGCTTAGAATACGCTAAGATGAACATTTGACTAACTGACATTAGATATGAACTGTACCTAACTGTTCCAACTTACATACAAATTTGACTTAAAGACAGACTTAGGAATGGAACTTGTTCATAATCCAGGAGATTCCTTTTCAAAATGTCACATCTTGTTGTCACACTTCTAAAGTAAAACAACATCAGTAAATATAATAACCTAGAACTGCCACTTAACAAGCTGTGCAAAATAATAGACTCAAAAATACCATAAACACATGAAAATGGAATCCCAAAAACTGTTCTAGTAACCCAGTAAGGTAGGAAAAAGAAAACAGATGTGCAAAAAAACAAACAGAAAGAACAGAAAACAAAAAATAAAATGGCAAACTTAAACTCTAACATATCAATAATCATATTAAATGTAAATGGCCTAAATATACTAATCAAAAGAAAGAGATTGGAGGACTGGATTAAAAATAGAAAAAGAAAAAAGAACCTGAGCCAACTGTATGCTGTCTACAAGCAAGTCACTTCAAATATAACAATATAAGCAGGTTGAAAGTAAAATAACAGAAAAATATGTTATGCAAACATTAATCGAAAGAAAGCTGGAGTGCCATCTTAATGCCATATGAAGTACACTTCAGAGTAAAGAAAATAATCAGAGACAGGGAGGGACATTGTATAAGGAAAAAGGGTCAATCCATCTGGAAGACATAGCAATTCTAAATGTGTATGCACCATACAACAGAACTACATGAAGCAAAAATTGATGGAACTGAAAGAAAAAAAGACAAATCCACAATTATAGCTACAGACTTCAACACCTCTCTCTCAACAACTGATAGAACAGCTAGTCATAAAATCAACAAGGATATAGAAGAACTCTGTAATGTCATCAGCTAACAGGATCTAATTCATACTTATTTAACTACAGAAGATACACATTCTTTTCAAATACTCACAGAATATATACAAGACAGACCACATCCTGGGACATAAAACAAACTTCGACCGATGTTAAATAACTATGCTCTCCAAACGCAATGTATTCAAACTAAAAATCAGTAACAGCAAGACACCAGGAAAATCTTCAAACATTTGGAAACCAGAAAACATGCTACTAAATAATCCATGGGTCAAAGGGGACTTTAAAAGACTTTAAGAGAATTTAAAAAGTACGTTGAACTGAATTGAAAATGAAATTACAGAATATCAAAATTTGTGGCACATAGCTAAAACAATGTTAAAAGGGAAAGTTTTTGCACTAAAATGTGTACTTGAGAAAAGAGAAAAAGTCTCAAGTCAATCATCTAAGGTTGCACCTCAAGAACTAGAAGAAGAAAACCACAGCCATCAAGTCGTTTCCCACTCATAGCGATCCCTGTTGCATTTCTGAGGTGGTCAATCTTTACAGAAGTATATTGTCCTATCCGTGGAACAGCTGGTGGGTTTGAACTGCTGACCTGGGTAGCAGCCAAAGGCCTTAAACACCACACAACCAGAGCTCCTTTAAGAACTATAAAAGTATGAGCAAATAAACCCAAAGCGAGGATAAGAAAGAAAATAATAAAAATAAACATAGAAATCAATGAAATTTGAAACAGAAAGCAATAGAGAAAAATCAATGGAAGAAAACGCTGGCTCTTTGAAAAGACCGATAAAATCGACAAACCTCTGGCAAGACTGACAAAATGTCTTTTTTATGCAATCATTTGAGATTTGAAATGTAATTTAGCCAAACATCTTTTATTTCTTATTTTCAAACTTGTAAATTACAATGGCATTAGAGGAAAGCAAATATTTGTAGGATAAAATTGAAATTCAGCTCAACTATACAGTAATTATAAGCTAACTAAAGAAAATTAAGTTTAATATACCTTACAATGTTTCATCAGTTTAATATTTCAGCTCATTGGTAAGCATCCAGCTGAATCAATCTTATACATATCCATCATTTCAGGTTGGCGTGGATGATCAGGATATGCTGGGTTTTTTTTTTTTCCCATTGTCTCATTTTCCATGTTATGTCCAGAGAAGACCAAGATTTTGCCACTCAATTATTAAAATTAAACCAAGAAATATGTTTAAGATGAATTTAGTGAATGATGGAAATATTCTATATCTTGTGGGTTACAAAGCCATATCAGTTTGTTAAAATGATAAGGTTAAGATTGTGCATTTCAATTTATGTGATCATTACCTAAAGAAAAGAACTATGTAAAAGTAATTATTGAGTGGGAGGCAGAGAGTGGAGAGAAAGGCACAGGTGAAACAAGAATGACAAGAGTTTTGTAATGTTGGGTGGTGGGTATATAGAAGTTTATGATGCTATTTTGTTTCCTTTGTGTTAGAATTTTTCCATAATAAGCTTTTAGATGATTCCTTATGTGAACACGCTTAAGAAAGCAGTTAAGTTCAACTCTACTCTGTTGTTGTTATGTGCCATCGAGTCAAACCCGACTCATAGTGACCCCTCCTTGGGTTTCCAAGGCAGTATCACTACGGAAGTAGGATTGCCCAACCTTCCTTCCGAGGAGTGGCTGGTGGGTCTACTCTAGAGCAAGTCAAATCAAAACAAGTGAGATCAAGCACAGAAGCTTCTCCTGAAGGAATCTAATGGAATCTCCTTTAAATAAAAAAGTAGTTTCTTGACGTACTTAATTAATATATTTTTCCAGTCTATTGAGATATTATCTTCTTTCTATCTATCATAAATATCAGTATTCTACATAATTGAATTGTGAAACACTTAAAAAGACATTTCAATGGACTAAATTGAATGAGACACCTGGTGTGTTACTATTAAAATTTGCTTTAAAATGAAAAAAAAATGTATAGATTGTGTTAAAGGATGTCTTTGCTGCAGGCAAAGACAGGGGAATAAAGGACCCTTCAGATCCCAGGGATGTCATTAAGGTGACACAACTCAGAATGCTCACTGAAGAAGCATTTGGGCTTGTGCTGGAAATAGGCTTGTTTCTGAGAAGAAATGAAACCCATCCAAGATGTTTATGATTGTTTCACTTCATGAGTCAATTTGTTTTTAATGTCAGAGAAATGGGCTATTAATATCCAAAAATAACAATCTTTTCTCAGTAGCATTTATCAAGTGAACCCTAGAGGCTGGCACACTGCTCTTCTCTTTATTCTTCTGGGTAGATAAAAGTCATTTTCAACTACAAAATGGTCTCATCTGCTCAGAGTTTAGATTTTACTTTACCTACATTTGAATTATTTTGAAAAAATATCCTCACTTTTCATCTTCCATCATCTTGACTTTCAATGAATTTTGCTTGAACTCAGTGACTCTACCTTTCAATAAATGTGAAGCCAATCTGAACTGAATTATGCTTGGAGTATTTTGTGTATTTATAAGTGCACTGGTGCAGTGCTATTTTATACATTTTCAGGATATTTAGAAATGCATTTTCTAATTTATCTGAGAAAAGCTGGTGAGATAGGAATGGACCTATGCATAATGGCACATCACAGAATGCCTTGGTATCCACTCAAATGTAATTTACTTTAAAAACATCTTTTTACACCAACTTATTTAGTCTATATTTATCAAATCTAATGTCTTTCTTGCTGAGTGAATGTTTGTTTTTTGCACTGTATTATGCTGCTGATATATATTTAGACCGTGATTAATCAATTAGCAAAAGAGGGGAATTTGATGCCCAAAAACTACTATAAAATTAACAAGCCTCTAAAATCACAACCAATTCTACCCAAACAAAATGGAAGTGGAATCTGAAAAATGATTATGACAAATACTGGACTGCTACTACTCCTTCTTTTAAATAGTTTCATTAGCTTAGTTACTTATATTTTTTTGGCCTGAATTTTCTTCCTAATAGCTTAATTGTTCCTTTTACTGTACAAGTGTAACCACATAACAAAGCAAGTATGTTATATAAGTCATGCAACTTAGATGAATGATTTTTTTACCACCAAACTCAAACTCACTGCCATCGAGTTGATTCTGACTCACAGTGACCCAATAGAACAGAGTAGAATTGGTTTCCAGAACTGAAAGTTTTTTTACGGAAGCAGATTGTCACATCCGTCTCCTGCAGAGCAGCTGGAGTGTTCAAAATGCTGACCTTTTGGTTAGCAGCCTTAACCACTGCAGCACCAGAGCTCTTTTGTTTTACCTCCAGTGGGGGGGGGGAGTTACCAATATTGCTGATCATCTTCTTACAAGGTTTGTATAGTTTGTTGATGTGGTTCAGGTTCAGTGCACTTCTTGGATTTACAAATCACACTGCTCATCAGAGATAAATTGCACAGCTGGAAAATCAACCTGAATTATTGGAAGTTTACATTCAAGGAGTAATTCTTAAATGTGAGCGTGCATAAGAACCACTTAATGAGAAATATGTGTTTAGCACTAGTGGAGAAATTTGATCCAAAATCTGGAAAGAATCAGATTATTTTAAAAAAAGACTCCCAGGTAATTCTTTATTATGTGGTTCACATAATTTGATATTTTTGCAATGCACAGATTTTAGAAATAGTATGGACTTAAGAGTACTTCATGAAGTTACTGATTTGAACGCGTGGTGGCAGTGCAGGCTAAGAGAGTGAATTTAAAAGCTCCACAGATTCAGTGGACTCTATTACACCAAAAAGCAGAAACGAAAACACAGAATACAGTTACAGCTAGAGATAAAGACGTGTTCAACAAGGCTGTTGTCACCATACTAGTTATCAGAACAAATTGGAAATTCTATTGAAAAGAAGGTCGATCGTGGATGGTGGAGTGAACAGTTGGGAGCTGAAAAGGTTTTTTTTCCTCTCTCATCTGACATCACAATAGAGATGGAGCAAACAAAAGTTCAACACAAGAAAAGGCAAGTAGAGAGTTTTATTATATTGATGTTTTTATGGGAGGTGGGTTCAGAATCATTGCAGTATTCTGTGCTGGAGGAGACAGAAAGTGGAACGTTTGTAGCCAACTTGACAAAGGAACTGGGACTCAGGATGGGAGAGCTGGCTGAGAGAGGCGCCCGGGTTGTTTTCAAAGGGAACCGACAGCATTTGCAGCTTGACCCACAGACACAAGATTTGCTGCTAAATGAGAAACTGGACCGGGAGGAGCTGTGTGGCTCCACTGAGCCGTGTGTACTACCATTCCAAGTGTTATTGCAAAATCCTTTGCAGTTTTTTCAGGCTGGATTGAGGGTCAGAGATATAAATGATCACGCCCCAGAATTCCCCACAAGAGAAATGCTCCTGAAAATATCAGAAATTACTGCACCAGGAAAGATATTCCCTTTGAAAATGGCACAGGATTTAGACACTGGCAGCAACAGCCTTCAGAGCTACAGAATCAGCCCCAACCCCCACTTCCATGTTCTCACTCGAAATCGCAGTGACGGCAGAAAGATCCCAGAGCTGGTCCTGGACAAAGCATTGGATCGGGAGGAGCAGCCTCAACACAGGCTAACGTTAATGGCGCTGGATGGCGGGTCTCCTCCCAGGTCAGGAACCGCAGAGATTCAGATCCTGGTCTTGGACAGCAATGACAACGCACCTGAGTTTGCTCAGGAACTCTATGAGGTCCAGGTCCCCGAGAACAATCCCCTAGGTTCCCTGGTTGTTACTGTCTCAGCGACAGATTTAGATGAAGGATCCTTCGGGGAGGTATCTTATACCCTATTTCAGCTAGATGACATTAACCAACCGTTTGAAATAAACGCAATCACAGGAGGAATTCGACTGAGGAGGACATTGGATTTTGAGGAGTTTCAGGCTTATCACGTGGAGGTTGAGGCCACAGATGGTGGTGGACTATCAGGAAAATGTTCCCTGTTCATCAAAGTATTGGACGTGAATGACAATGCCCCCGAATTGACCATGTCGTCACTCACCAGCCCCATCCCTGAAAACTTGCCAGAGGTAATAGTCGCAGTTTTCAGTGTTTCAGATGCAGACTTTGGACTTAACCAACAAGTTGTTTGTTCTGTAGATGACAATCTCCCCTTCCTTTTAAGACCATCTATAGAAAATTTCTATACCCTGGTAACAGAAGGAGCACTGGACAGAGAGAGCAGAGCCGAATACACCATCACCATCACCGCTACCGACTTGGGTACCCCTAGACTAAAAACCGAACATAAAATAACCGTGCTGGTCTCAGACGTCAATGATAACGCTCCCACCTTCGCCAAAACCTCTTACTCTTTCTTCATCCGCGAGAACAACAGTCCCGCCCTACACATCGGCAGCGTCAGCGCCACAGACAGAGACTCAGGCACCAACGCTCAAGTCACCTACTCTCTGTTGTGGCCCCAAGACTCGCACCTCCCCATCGCCTCCTTGGTCTCCATCAATGCAGCCAACGGGCATCTGTTCGCTCTGAGGTCGTTGGATTACGAGGCCCTGCGAGTGTTCGAGTTCCGCGTGGGCGCGGTCGACGCAGGCTCCCCTGCGCTGAGCAGCGAGGCGCTGGTGCGGGTGGTGGTTGTGGACGACAACGACAACTCGCCCTTCGTGCTGTACCCGCTGCAGAACGGCTCCGCGCCCTGCACTGAACTAGTGCCCAGGGCGGCCGAGGCAGGCTACCTGGTGACCAAGGTGGTGGCAGTGGACGGCGATTCGGGTCAGAACGCCTGGCTGTCCTACCAGCTGCTCAAGGCCACGGAGCCCGGGCTGTTCAGCGTGTGGGCGCACAATGGCGAGGTGCGCACCGGCAGGCTGCTGAGCGAGCGCGACGCGACCAAGCACAGACTCGTCGTGCTGGTGAAGGACAATGGTGAGCCCTCGATGTCAGCCACCGTCACGCTGCACGTGCTCCTGGTGGACGGCTTCTCTCAGCCTTACCTCCCTCTCTCGGAGGTTGCCCTGGAAGATGCCCAGGCTGACTCACTCACCGTCTACTTGGTCATTGCCTTGGCGTCGGTCTCGTCGCTCTTCCTGTTTTCCGTGCTCCTATTTGTCGCAGTGAGGCTTTGCAGGAAGAACAGGGCCACATCGATGCCTGAGGGCCACTTTCCTGGTCACTTGGTGGACGTCAGCGGAACCAGAACATTATCGCATAACTACCAGTATGAGGTGTGTCTGACGGGAGGCTCAGGGTCCAGCGAGTTCAAGTTCCTGAAGCCAATTTGCCCCAACTTCCCTCCCCAGGAAACTGGCAGGGCAATGGAAGAAAACCTCACCTTTCGGAACAGCGTCCAATTCAGTTAAGTATTGGATTATTAAACCTTACATACTAAGTTTGCAGATCACATAATGTAAGTTTACCCTTTATTCATGCATGTTATCTCTGGTCTGTTTCTTGCTGATTTGACTAGGATTCTTTGTATTTTTTAAAGTATCAATCTGGGATTACATATCATGTTCTCAAAATAATTTTAGTTCTCCAAAATCCTTAAGATTACACTTTTAAATATTGGTTTTAGTTATTGCTATCACTATGTAAGATGATCTTTACAACTTGAATATTTGTTATATTCAATATAACTTCCAATGTAAGTCTCATTTTGGGTTAATTGCTACAGTTTGAAAGAGTAAAGAGAAACACCAAGGCAGTCACTCATATTTATGTCTATTTCAGTCAATATGTAGTTTCTTTAGTAAACACATTAAATTAAAGTCAACACATCAGTTTGTGGCATTCTTGTAAGGTAATGATAGATATATTTTTTAAAAAGCCAATGATAAATGCTTAATGAATAGTTGTTGAATGTTAGTAACATTCCAACAAACTGAAAAAATAGACTCACTGCCATTGAGTTAGTTCCCACTCATAGTGACCCCCATTGGGTTTTGGAGTTGGTAAATCTTTACGGATGTAGATTACCCTGTCTTCCTTTCACGGAGCAGCTGGTGGGTTTGAACCACCAGCCTTCTGGTTGGCAGTCAAATGCCTTAGGCATTGTGCCACCAGAGCTCCTTAACATTCCAGTTGTGAATATAAAATAATACATTTTCAAGGAACAAAGAAATACTAATGTTTCCTTTGCAATATAGTATCATTGCCAATGTGTGAAACTACTATCACTGCTTAGTGAAATCACTTTTTTTGCTTTCTAAGTACAAAATACCTTTCCAGTCACCCTAAATTCTGTTACAGAACATAAAATGTTTGTGAGCATATTTTGTGTCCTTGTGCTTGACAAACAATTTGCAAGTTTGAAGGTATTGTTAGGTCAAATCCACATTACATTTTTCAAACTCCTCCTTCCACTTATGTGATACTTGCTAAGACCTCGATAAGGTCTTGGTGGTGGTGTTTTGTGTGTGGAGTCAATTCCCACTTAAATTCACACTCACAGTCATCCTATAGGAGAGAGTAGAATTGCCCATTGGGGCAAGCTATATATAATCCTGATGGGAGCAGATTGCCACATGTTATTCCCATGGAGCAGTTTCAACCACAGACTATTCCTTTAGCAGCTGAGCGCTTTAACCCCTGCTTAGTGGCCAGTCATTAGGTGATGTCAGATTTTCTCCTCCAGTGCTATATAAGTAAGCATTATTTGTCTTTATTGACCATAACTCCATTTATGTTCACATTTTAGCCCATATTTAGCCTTATTCATGTCAGTTAAATGTGTGGTATTTTATGGGAAATACCCATTTTCAACTTCCTATCAAAGGAAATGGATTATTGAGCAAATATTTTATTTTTACTCCCAACTAAAATAAAAATGGACACCTAAACTATATTTGGCTGCATTTTGTTCAAATAAGTGAATTCTCTTAGATGATTACCAACTGGTTCAATGAGTGTAGGAAGCCCTTCCTGTTTTATACAGGCACACTTCAGAGATATTGTGGGTTCGATTCCAGACCACTGCAACAAAGCAAATATCACAATAAAGTGAGTCACATGATTTTTTTTTTTAGTTCCCAGTGCATATAAAAGTCATGTTTACACTATACCATACTCTATAAGTGTGATAGCATTATGAAAAAGTTTGAAGTATTATGAGAATTACCAAAATGTGACGCAAAGGTGTGAAGTGAGCATGTGCTGTTGGAAAAATGGCACTGATAGACCTGCTCAATGCAGGATTACCCCAAACCTTCCATGGGGGTGTGTGAAATATCTGTGAAGAGCATTAAAAGGAGGATGTGGCTTTATTTGTAGATATTTACCCTCTCCTCCTTGGAATAGCATTTTTCTTCTTTTGGGGAACTGCTTCCACTATTCTCACTCCAATTCCATGGCTTTAGTTGGTTGGAGCAGGGGTGATTTTAAATAACTTCATTTCCACAGTCCCAGAGGACATACACTGGGAAAGACCCTTGTTCAAAGAAGACAGGTCAGAACCCTTCTCCAGCTAGTTTTGTTTTAAACCTCATTGACTTTATTAGTTTCTTCATGTATGTAGAAAGGATATTGCCTAAATGCTGACCTTTTATTGAGTTCTAATAAAACTAATGATAATTTTTCTTCACAAATTTATGGGGCATTGTACACAATGAATTTATGCAAGGAAGGAAATTCTCAAGAGCTGTGTAACCCAGGGCTAGGCAAGCAATCACATTTTCATTTGCTTTCAGGAGTTTCAAACACATTAAAACTTGTGGAGCATAGAAACTGGATTAATGCATTCATAAATACTCTTCTAACAGAACAAGTTATTGTTTTGTGATAGACTGTACACTCCATGAGAGCAGGAATTTTTGTTTTTTCACTGTTTTATCCTCAGAAACTAGAAGGATGCCTGCACAGATGAATACTTGTTAAATGAAACAATGAATTTTGTCTTCAGCAGAAAGAGCTTTGTGCACTGCACTTAAACCTTATTAAGGAAGATTTTTGCTCTCACAATTATTATTAGCTACCCGAATAAGACTGCACAGGAGAAAGTATGTGTATATAACTCTCTATGACCTGAAAGGGGTTGGGGAGAGAGACACATTTTAGCTATTAAAATCCTCTTGAAAACGAAAAATACATGTAGCTGTGAAGCTGAACGCTTGGTGGCGCTACAGGCTAAGAAAGTGAAAAACTGGCTCCGCCGGACTCCCGTGAGTCCATTAAAAACCTGAGCAGTTTCCGGCAGCTCGCAGAACGAAAGAAGTATCTTACACTGCTGAGGATCGAAGATTTTGGAGAGGTAGCTATTCTACTGTATCAGTCAGTGTTAAAAAGAACTAACTCCAGATTATTGAGCCAAGACAGCTAGGTTGACTGTAAAACACTTATTTTGATTAAATACTGCAATTTTTGGATCCAAAGGAACGATGGAAACGCCGCTCCCAAAGACCCTGCAGAAGAGGCAAGTGGCCGCCATTATTATTCTATTACTGTGGTGGGAGGCGGGCAGTGCAACCATTAAGTACTCCGTTCCAGAAGAGACAGACAGCGGGTCATTTGTGGCCAATTTAGCGAAGGATCTGGGGCTGGGCTTAGGGGAGCTGGCCGCGCGGGGCGCCCGAGTTCTTTCCAAAGGCAGCACACAGCATTTGCAGCTCCAGCAGAAGAGTGGAAATTTGCTCCTAAAAGAAAAAATGGACCGGGAGGAGTTGTGCGGTGACACGGATCCATGTATACTGCATTTCCAGGTGTTACTGAAAAATCCGGTGCAGTTTTTTCAAGGTGAACTACAGCTCAGAGACATAAATGACCATGCCCCAGAATTCTTGGAAAGCGAAATCCTTCTGAAAATCTCAGAAAACAGCCGTCCAGGAACTGTATTTCCCTTGAAAATAGCTCAGGATTTGGACGTAGGCAGCAACACAGTTCAGAACTACACTATCGGCCCCAATTCCCATTTCCACCTCTTCACGCGTACTCACAGCGATGGCAGAAAGTACCCAGAGTTGGTGCTGGACAAAGCGCTGGACCGTGAGGAGCGGCCTGAGCTCAGGTTAACCCTCACGGCGCTGGATGGTGGGTCACCACCTAGGACTGGGACGTCCCAGGTTGTCATCCTGGTCTTGGATATCAATGACAATGCCCCTGAATTTACTAGGCCGCTCTACGAGGTGCAGGTCCCAGAAAATAGCCCCATAGGCTCCCTTGTTATTACTGTCACCGCTAGAGATATGGATGTTGGAACCAATGGGGAGCTCTCCTACTCATTTTTCCATCCTTCGAATCAAGTCATTCAGTCCTTTGAAATAAACGAAGTCATGGGAGAAATTCGATTGAAAAAATTTTTGGATTTTGAGGAAATTCAATCTTACCGTATGGAAATTGAGGCCTCAGATGGCGGGGGCCTTTCAGGAAAATGCACGGTGGCCATAGAAGTGCTGGATGTGAACGACAATGCCCCCGAACTGACCATGTCATTACTCATCAGTGATATCCCAGAAAACTCCCCCGAGACTGTGGTCGCTATTTTCGGAATTTCAGATCCAGACTCCGGAGATAATGGGAAAATGATGTGTTCCATCCAGGATCATCTTCCCTTCCTTCTGAAGCCAACCGTAGATAATTTCTACACTCTGGTAACAGAGAAGACACTGGACAGAGAGAGTACAGAGGAATACAACATCACCATCACGGTCACAGACTTGGGTACCCCCAGACTGAAAACCGAACACAAAATAACTGTGCTGGTCTCAGACGTCAATGATAACGCTCCCACCTTCGCCAAAACCTCTTACTCTTTGTTCATCCGCGAGAACAACAGCCCAGCCCTGTACATAGGCGGCGTCAGCGCCACAGACAGAGACTCAGGCACCAACGCTCAAGTCACCTACTCGCTGCTGCCGCCTCAGGACCCGCACCTCCCCATCGCCTCCCTGGTCTCCATCAACGCAGACAATGGGCACCTGTTCGCTCTGAGGTCGCTGGATTACGAGGCCCTGCGAGCGTTCGAGTTCCGCGTGGGTGCGGTCGACGCAGGTTCCCCGGCGCTGAGCAGCGAGGCGCTGGTGCGCGTGGTGGTCGTGGACGAAAACGACAACTCGCCCTTCGTGCTGTACCCGCTGCAGAACGGCTCTGCGCCCTGCACCGAGCTGGTGCCCAGGGCGGCCGAAGCGGGCTACCTGGTGACCAAGGTGGTGGCGGTGGACGGCGACTCCGGCCAGAACGCCTGGCTGTCCTACCAGCTGCTCAAGGCCACAGAGCCCGGGCTGTTCAGCGTGTGGGCGCACAATGGCGAGGTGCGCACCGCCAGGCTGATAAACGAGCGCGATTCTGCCAAACACAGACTTGTTGTGCTGGTTAAGGACAATGGCGAGCCTCCAATGTCGGCCTCCGTCACGCTGCACCTGCTCCTGGTGGACGGCTTCTCGCAGCCTTATCTGCCTCTCCCGGAGGTGGCCCCGGATGAGGCCCAAGCCAACTCACTCACTGTGTACTTGGTCATTGCGTTGGCATCGGTCTCGTCACTCTTCCTGTTCTCTATGCTCCTGTTTGTCGCCGTGCGGTTGTGCAAGAAGAACAGGGATGCCTCAATGGTCCGCTGCTCTGTGCCAGAAAGCCACTTTTCTGGTCACTTGGTGGATGTCAGTGGCACTGGGACGCTGTCCCAGAGCTACCAGTATGAGGTTTGTCTGACAGGAGGTTCTGGGACCAGCGAGTTCAAGTTTCTTAAACCTATACTCCCAAACTTTTTGGTCAAAGAGACTGGTAGGGATACCGAGGAAAACCCCAACTTTAGGAATCATTTTGGGTTAAATTAGAAATCAGATTTTGAAAAGACCTGATTAATGATAACATTTACTGATCTGTGTATAATTTAACCATTTAATTCACAGAAAGAGCTCGCATATTCTCAGTAAGTATTCTCACTGCCATAGTTATACCTATTTCTAATTGTTTAAGTACTTTACGTCTCCTCTGGTTTTTGTAAGGCATCTCACGTTTTGCATGTGAGTACAATAGCTCTGAAAAGGTGTTTCTCAGGGTTTTATTTGGTCAGATCTTTGGGAGTCACAACTGTTTTCAGGTTCCTGACAGTTGAGCATGTTTTGTTGACATCTTATGATTGAAAGATTTGCATTCCAGTTTTTTCAAGTATCATCATCCAAAATCTAGTTTTATTGTGAATGTGGCATTCAGTTTTTAAAATACTTTTCATCGATGCAAAACTTTTTGTGACCTTGAAATTATTGATTTCTGTAGTGTCATTTCAAAAACATTCTATTGTCTTTGCTCGAATGAATCAATATTTTCAGGTGATATTTTCTATGCTGCCTTTTTCTTTCAAAAATGGTATTTAATTAGTGCATGTGCTACTATTCTAAATGAAATCCTTGGTAAATAGAAAAAATAGTTGGCAGGCTTGTGATGTTTTCATAATAAATGGTTTTTCATATGTAAATAATGACTACTGTTCTTTTAAAAACAATATTTACTCAAATACAATTCAAATATATACAATAAGTACAAAAAAAGAATGAAAATCAATACTATTATTTCACTGCTCAGAAATAATCATCATTAATATTAAATCAACTTTATTTCAAATATATTTCTGTTCAGGCATATATAATTGAAACAATAATTTTCTAAAAATGGATTTATAATAAATTGCAGCTTTAGAATTAAATATACAAGAATTAATTTTACTTGAATAAATAAAATAAAATTATGTGAAAGTATAGAATTTTCTTAAGCTGAGATAAATAATATCTGTAATGTTAAAAACAAGATTATGACCCATAAAGATAATAACATCACTTAACCCATTGCTTGACTATCTGTAATTAAAAATGAGGAAATCACTGTTTTTAACACTTCCTCCTTCCTATCCTCCCCTTACTTTATACATTTTGTTATATCTATATACTGCTACCATCTCAATGTTTATGACTTTTACAATGTATTTAAAAAAAAATAATCCAAGTTATTGTTAGACTTTTTACATTTTTAAAAATTTACTTCAAAGTCACAATATGTTTGTTTCAATATTATTCAAGATTCTGACTGCCCAGAGGTAATGACTTTGGATGCTTTTAACTATACCCTTCCATAGTTTTTCTATGTTTCTAAATAATATGTTTGTAAAGTGGTCATTCTGAAATTCAGTTTTAGACATTATCCATTTACTTCTGTTCTTGAGGTATGCCCTCCCCACTTGCATACTTCTTCTCCATCCTGTCATATAACAATACAATAATTGTGTTAAATATTTAGTGCTTACATAATTATTATTGTGTAAATATTGCCTCATGGTGCAAATATTATATATTTTTCCTTTGCCCTTAAGTTAAAAATTGCTCCCTTTCCCACTTTCTTCACTTCCAACTTTGCTCACTTTTTTATCTACATATTTTTAACTTAACTAATACCCACCTCTTGGAAGGAAGATGGGGCAATCCACTTCCGTAGTGATATTGCCTCGGAAACCCAAGGAAGTGTCACTATGAGTTGGGTCTGACTGGATGGCAAATAGCAACAACAACAACAACAATACTTTCTAAACTCTAAAGCTCCACATTATATGGTTAAATTCATTTAAAAATCTACAGTTCCACTTTTTTTTTTTCCCTTGAAGTCATCTCTTCTGGAGTTAACCAGACTTCTGGTTAATTATGAAGTAGTCAGTAGTCCCCAACTTATGGAGAGGTTTTCCATCATAAGTCAATTCTGACTTAGTCAAATATTTCAAGGGGAGGTTAGTTTTCATATTTTTGCCTTTCATTATCAGTCTCTATAAATCTGGCAGTGTTTTGAACAGTGAATCATAAAACAGAACATCTTTGAGTGAACATCTGAGAATGATAACACCAACAAATTATGTGCTGCAAGATATTACTAAGAATCCAAAAAAGAAAAATAAATAAAACCATCATCATTAAGTTTATTCTGACTCATAACAACCCTATAGGACAAAGTAGACTTAGCATATATGGCAAACCAATTGCCAAGTCTGAGTGGGGAAAAGCTGAGAATCAGTCTAGTTTAGACTTCAGTACTTTGAGCAAATAACCTGAGAAGCTGGACTATATGAAGAAGAGCATGGCATCAGGTTTGGAGGAAGACTCATTAACAGTCTGTGATATGCAGATGACACAACTTTGCTTGCTGAAAGTGAAGATGAGTTGAAGCACATATTGATGAAGATTAAAGACTACAATCTGTAGTATGGATTACACCTCAACATAAAGAAAATAAAAATCTTCGCAACTTGACCAATAAGCAGCATCAAGATAAATGGAGAAAAGATTGAAGTTGTCAAAGGTTTCATCTTACTTGTTTCCACAATCAATGCCAATGGAGGCAGCAGTCAAAAAATCAGATGTATTGCACTGGGCAAAGAATCCAAAACCAAAAGCACTGCCTTCTAGTTGGATCCGACTCATAGCGACCCTTCCTTGGGTTTCCAAGGTGGTATCACTATGGAAGTGGATTGCCCAAACTTCCTTCTGAGGAGTGGCTGGTAGGTTTGAACCACCAGTCTTCCAGTTAGCAGTCAAATGTTTTAGGCTGCAAAAGACCTCTTTAAAGTGCTGAAGAGCAAAGATGTTTCTTTCAAGACTAAGGTGTGCCTAACTCAAGCCATGGTTCTTTCAATCACCTCATATGCACGTGAAAGCTGGGCAATGAATAAGGAAGACCAAAGAAAAGTTGGTGTTTTTGAGTTGTGGTGTTGGTGAAAAATACTGAAAGTACTATGGACTGCCAGAAGAACCAACAAATCTGTCCTGGAAGAAGGGCAGCCAGAATGCTCCTTGGAAGCAAGAATGGCCAGACTTCGTCTCACCTACTTTAGTCATGTTGTCAGAAAGGTCTATTCTCTGGGGAAAGATATCATGCTTGGTAAAGTGGAGGGTCAACGAAAAAGGGGAAGGCCCTAAATGAGATGGATTGATACAGTGGTTGCAGTGATGGGCTTAGGTATAGTGAGGATTGTGAGGCTGGCGCAGGGCCAGACAGTGTTTCTTTCTGTTGTACATAGGGTCACTGTGAATTGGAGCTGACATTTTGGCACCTAAGAACAACAACACATGGAAATGGAGTCTCCATCAGCTCACATCCCCAAGTGACTATTATGAGGAGAGGTCCCATGTTTAAATACACTGGACGTGTGGTGTAAGAAACAAATCAACCTTAATGTGTTATGTCATTGAGATGTGAGGGGATTTATTAATTATTGAAGCCTCACTCCACCTATCTGGATTGATGCAGACTTCTACCCCTCTTCCTCTACTGAAGTCCCCAAATTCTGGTTTTCATACATTTCCCTTTTGGGTAGAATATTTTGAAAAGTAGAAGAATCTCATCAGTCCAATTGTAAAGGTCTAATCACACTGAGGTTTACCAAAGCACCAGCATAGCCAGTTCACTGTGGAGTGAAGATCAAAGTTAACAAGCCCTATCAACATGTTGAGGAGCTCCAGTAGCATAGAGCCTAAGGCACTTGACTGCTAACCAGAAAGCTGTCAGTTCAAACCCACCAGCCACTCCTTGGAAGGAAGGTTGGGCAATCTACTTCCATAGTGATATCGCCTCAGAAATTCAAGGAGGGGTCGCTATGAGTTAGGTCCAACTCGACAGCACATAACAACAACAACAACAACATTGACATATTGAGGAGTCCCTGAGTGGTGAAAACAGTTGAGCACTCTACTATCTGAAAAGTTGGTGGTTCAGACTCCAAGAAGAGCCTTGGAAGAAATAACTGGTGATCTGTTTTTAAAAAGCTACAGCCTTGAAAACTGTATGGAGCCATTATCCTCTGTGCTGCAAACAGTTGAGCACTCTACTATCTGAAAAGTTGGTGGTTCAGACTCCAAGAAGAGCCTTGGAAGAAATAACTGGTGATCTGTTTTTAAAAAGCTACAGCCTTGAAAACTATATGGAGCCATTATCCTCTGTGCACATGGGGTTGTTGGAAGTCAGAATCAACTCGATGACAGCTAATAACAACAACATGTTCAAAGGTATCACTCAGCTCTTCAGTCTGCCAGACTAAATGAAGAGCAAATGAACTACAAATGATTATAAGTGAGTTTCTAAAAAGAAATCCAGAAATGAAAAACTCAATGCAGAAAGAAAAAGAAAAAAAGATGACTTGGAGAAAATAAAAAGCTTGCAAGTAGAAGAAAACTTGAAACCAACTATAATTCATATCATCAGATGAAAAAGAAAGTTATTTAACCTAAGAAATACGTACAAAAAGAGTTCTTGGAAAGTATTAACATAATAAAAAAGTGAAAATCTCAATATAAGGACTGTATGATAATGTTAAGAAAACATAATAGGGAATATTATAAAAATGTTTAAATGGCAAACAGGAGAGAATAATTAAGATTAATAATAACCTCTAATTAATAATAATTAGAGAATTAAGGAAATTAGAGAACTGTACCAGAGGTCCAACATCTGAGTATGAGAATTTCAAAACCATGAGAGCAGAAGCAATCATCATTAAGGGTTTTTTTTTTTTTTTTTTTTTAATTTCTAAGAGCTGAAGAAAATCTGTTTGTTGACATGGCTTACCAATTGTCCTGTACAATGGATGAAAACAAGCCCATCACTGTGTAATTTTAAAGGCTTGGAATGATAACAAAGTCCCACAAAAAGATATAAAAATACAACACACATATGGAAGATGAGAAATAAGATAATCTTCAGACTTCTTCACAAACACATTGGCTTAGAGAACTCATTAACCAAATACATTAAAACTCTGAAAAAAGATGTTTCCAACCTAATACTCTATAAGTATCCAAAAATAACAATTACTTAATTAATTCATCAATTACTCAATCTTCCAATCAAATTTGATGGTAGAATAAAGATGCTATAATATATTCAAGGAAACAACAAAATTTAACTCATGTATATCCTTCTCTGGAAATTACTAGAAGATATCTACCAAAATGAGAGAGTAAACCAAGTGAGATGACATCAGAGGAAACAAAATTAGAAGATCCAACACATTACGGAAGTGAAAGGATCTCCAGATGGTGTTGGAGGATGAGAGTAGAATGGCAGCTGAGCTCGGGCATAATGAGCAACCAATCTGGACCTGTGGGACCCAAGAAACAGCCATGTTGGGGGACATCCTCAGTGAGTCCACTGGCATTATACCATCTTTTCAACCAGATGAAACCATTGGAGAATGTGCACTATTAAGCAAAAGAGCAAATCAAAAGAGAAAGATATGAAATCCAAGAAATAGGGAATCCAACACAATAAAAGATAAAAGGAACTCCAGTAGTGACAGCCAAGGGAAATTCCAGGACAACAGCTATGCAGCAATCTTAGAAAGCAACCATCCAATTTAAAGGAAAATGGATGTATCACGAGGGATAGGAATGACCATGTAGAAGTTGTGTTGAGAGGAAAATGGAAGTACAGGAAGAATAAGTGATAGGTACATAAGGAAGGCTAAGTAAATGAAGGGAGCTCTGGTAGCATAGTGGCTAAGACACTTGCCTGCTAACCAGACAGCTGGCGGTTCAAACCCACCAGCCACTCCTTGGAAGGAAGGTTGGGCGATCCTACTTCTGTAGTGATACTGCCTCAGAAACCCAAGGAGGGGTCGCTATGAGTCGGATTTGACTCGACGGCAAATAACAACAAGTAAATGAAAAGCAAGGCAATTGTTAACTTCAAAAACAAATGAGAAAGAAAATATAATTAGTACATGACAATGTTCCCAACAACCTTATAAGTGATAGAAGAAATGCAAAGGCTTTGTACATATATGAGAACTAAAACTTGTACAGCAGCATAAATCAATTGATGATATCTAAAATCAAGTAATCAAAATACAGCAGAATACAGATTGATGCCAGAAGTGATAACCAAAAGAGTTTTTAAAAATAACTATCTTGAAAGGGCAACTGAAAAAGATGAAGAGGAAAAGGAGAGAAAACTATTGTATTTTATTACAATCCTCTTCCCACTATTTGATTTTGAACTTAGGGCACACATTATTTTGAAAAAACTGAAAATACATTTTAAAAAATGAATAAAATAAAGCTCTTACAAGTTTCACCAAGAAAAAAGGAGATAAAATACTAAACATTACTAATTAGAAAAAGGACATAACTAAAGATAAAGAAATAATACAATGAAACCTAATACTAAGAAGTTTGAAAATATAGATAAAATTAATTATTTTAAAATAAAATACAAATTACTTAATAAAGGATATAAAACCTGAACAGATGAAGAACCAAATGGAACAGGTAATATAGATCTACCACTAGAGAAACCACCAACCCAACCACCTGAAAAGTCCAGATCTAATTAATCATGTAGAAACAGATCATTATCTATTTGTGAAAACTATTCTTTAGCATAAAATGGATGGATAGCATCCTAACCCATCCATGAGGACACAATAATGTAGTACCAAAACCATAGAAAGTAACAAAAAGAGAAAGAGAAGGAAAGAGAGAGAGAGAATACTATAGGCCAGAAAAATCCTGAAAACCAAATTCAATTGTGCATTAAAAGAATAATACATGACGGTTAAATGTTATTCGGGAGCTCTGGTGGCATGGTACCTAAGGCATTTGACTACTAATCAGAAGGCTGGCGGTTCAAACCCACCAGCCACTCCTTGGAAAGAAGGTTGGTCAATCTACTTCCATAGACATATTGCCTCAGAAACCCAAGGAGGAGTCGCTATGAGTCAGGTCCGACTCCACGGCAGTGAGTTTGGTTTTGGTTTGGATATGTGGTTTATAACTCTAACTCAAGAATCAAAAGGTTATAGAATAGAAATATAATTTAAACAGGTATCAAAAATGCTTCAAATGCATGAAAGAATAAAGGAATAGAAGAAAACGTTTTAGACAAAAAATAAACAGGAATATTCTAAATCTAGATCAACCATCAGTTGGTGAAATATTAGGAGCACACCTACAAAGGCAAGAATGATCTACTTGCTACTACTAATTTTACTAGTATTCCAAGATCCTAGCAACTGAGTTTTTATATGAAAAAATAAATTATATCTAATAGTTAAAACAGGTCATGGAGTGGAGTTGGGTGTCAGAAAGTTTACAGGAAATACCTTGGGTAAAGAGTGAAGACCAAAAACCCATTGCTATGGAGTGGATTCTGACTCATAGTGACCTTACAGACTGAAGAGAACTGCCCTGAAAGGGTTCCAAGGCTCTAATCTTTACAGGAACAGCCTGCCACATTTTCCTTCCTCCTAGGAGCCTGGTAGCATAGTGGCTAAAGCACTTGACTGCTAACCAGAAGGCTGGCGGTTCAAACCCACCAGCCACTCCTCGGAAGGAAGGTTGGGCAATCCTACTTCCGTAGTGATACTGCCTCGGAAACCCAAGGAGGGGTCGCTATGAGTCGGGGCCGACTCGACGGCACATAACAACAACAAGAAGGGGCTGATAGGTTGGAACGCTGACCTTTTGACTAGCATCCGAGTTCTTTAACCACTGAGCTACGAGGTCTCATTTTTTGAACCGGAAAGACTGTTTAACTCACAAGAAACTGTAAAAGGGTAAGTAACTCCACAGAATGGATGGCACAATTAAGTGATTTACAAATAAATAAAAGGTTCTCAACTAATATTTGTAGACTTTTTGATAGAGGAGTCATTTGCTTATATGTTCTCTACCATCAACTTTTAAAATGGGAGGTTTTCCTAGGAGTTATTCTTGGTGGGGAATAGTCTTGGTGGGGAACCAGAGTTTAAATTCATGGCTCTAAATTTAAGAAAACAACAGACTGATTCTTCTACAAATTCAAACTATCAGAAGGGGAAACAATGTAAGCACTTATTGGCATTATAGTGACTATTTGAGGGAAAAGATGGCATGAAACAACCAAAACACTGGGAAAAAAATCACTCCTGTTACGAGAGTTCCTTTAAGCCACCATCTTTTTGTTCTATTGTTGAGAATGGGAATAACATACAAAACACGCAAGGTGGCGCTGTTGACTAAAAAGAGGAAGAAGGAAGAAAAAAAGGGGGGGGGGGAACCCTGCACAAAGGACCCTGCAGATTCCAGCGTAGAGGAAATCTGACCAGAAAAGTAGAAAGTAAATCGTGGGGACAGGAGTTGGAGGAAAATGAGGCTACCTCCTCATAAACATCGCCATTATCCAGCTCATTTCTAAGGATTTCGGTTGCTGCCATTTCCGAGAGCTGCCTGAGGCCGAGTGGAAGTTTTTTTTTTTTTTTTTTTTTTTTAAAGGCTTAAAGGGAAAATGGAGGCCAGCTTGGAGCGTGCTGTGCAGAAAAGGCAAGTCTTATTTCTTTGTGTATTTCTGGGGGTGTCCTGGGCTGGCGCCGAACCTCTTCGCTATTTTGTGGCGGAGGAAACCGAGAGAGGCACATTTCTGGCCAATCTTGCAAATGCCCTGGGGTTAGGGGTGGAGGAACTGTCAGCCAGAGGATGTAGCATCTTTTCAGACCAGAACGTGAGATTTTTACTACTCAATCCGCTTACTGGTGATTTAATACTAAATGAGAAATTGGACCGAGAGGAACTGTGTGGCCCCACTGACCCCTGCGTGTTGCCCTTTCAGTTATTACTGGAAAAGCCATTTCAGATTTTCCGTGCTGAACTATGGGTCACAGACATCAACGATCATTCTCCAGTATTTCTAGATAGAGAAATTCCCTTGAAAATATTAGAAAGCACCGTTCCAGGGGAGGCATTTCTCCTGGAACGTGCACAGGACCCAGATGTTGGAGTCAACAGCCTGAATAACTATACCATCAGCCCAAATGCCTATTTCCATATGAATGTCCGTAGTGGCGAGGAGGGGACTATCTATCCGGAATTGGTATTGGATGAAATGCTGGATCGCGAAGAGGTGCCTGAGCTCAGTTTAACCCTCACAGCTTTGGATGGCGGCTCTCCGCCTAGATCCGGGACCGCCCTGGTACGCATCTTGGTCTTGGACATAAATGACAATGCCCCTAAATTTGTGCAGCCACTCTACAAGGTGCAAGTGCCCGAGAGCAGCCCCGTTGGCTCTCTGGTTGTCGCCGTGTCAGCTAGGGACTTAGATACCGGAAGCAATGGGGAAGTAGTTTATGCATTTTTTTATGCCACTGAAAGAATTCTCAAAACGTTTCATATCAATTCAACATCTGGTGATCTCCATCTTAAAGCCGAGTTGGACTATGAGGCAATTCAAACTTACACGTTGACTATCCAGGCCAAAGACGGCGGAGGGCTGTCTGGAAAATGCACTGTGTTAGTGCAGGTGACAGATATAAATGATAACCCGCCGGAACTGCTCATGTCATCGCTTACTAGCCCAATTGCAGAAAACTCGCTCGACACAGTAGTTGCTGTTTTTAGGATTAGAGACAGAGACTCAGAGAGCAATGGAAAAATGATGTGCTCTATCCAGGACGATCTTCCCTTCCTCCTGAGGCCATCAGTAGAGAATTTCTACAGTTTGGTAACAGAGAAACCTTTGGACAGAGAGTGGAACGCCAAGTACAACATCACAATCACTGTCACCGACATGGGGTCACCCAGGCTAAAAACAGAGCACAGAATAACGGTGTTGGTCTCCGATGTCAATGACAACGCGCCCATATTTGCCCAAACCTCCTACACTTTGTTCGTCCGCGAGAACAACAGCCCTGCCCTGTACATTGGCAGCGTCAGCGCCACAGACAGAGACTCAGGCACCAACGCTCAAGTCACCTACTCGCTGCTGCCGCCCCAGGACCGGCACCTCCCCATCGCCTCTTTGGTCTCCATCAACGCGGACAACGGGCACCTGTTCGCTCTGAGGTCGCTGGATTACGAGGCCCTGCGAGCCTTCGAGTTCCACGTGGGCGCGGTCGACGCTGGCTCCCCGACGCTGAGCAGCGAGGCGCTGGTGCGCGTGGTGGTTGTGGACGACAACGACAACTCGCCCTTCGTGCTGTACCCGCTGCAGAATGGCTCTGCGCCCTGCACCGAGCTGGTGCCCAGGGCGGCCGAGGCGGGCTACCTGGTGACCAAGGTGGTGGCAGTGGACGACGACTCAGGCCAGAACGCCTGGCTGTCCTACCAGCTGCTCAAGGCCACGGAGCCCGGGCTGTTCAGCGTGTGGGCGCACAATGGCGAGGTGCGCACCGCCAGGCTGCTGAGCGAGCGCGACGCGGCCAAGCACAGACTCGTCGTGCTGGTGAAGGACAATGGCGAGCCGCCAATGTCAGCCACCGTTACGCTGCACGTGCTCCTGGTGGACGGCTTCTCGCAGCCTTACCTCCCACTCCCGGAGATGACCCTGAACGAGGCCCAGGCCGACTCGCTCACCGTCTACTTGGTCACTGCGCTGGCGTCGGTCACGTCGCTCTTCTTGTTTTCTGTGCTCTGGTTTGTAGCGGGGCGGCTGTGCAGGAGGAACAGGGCCGCTCCGATGGGTCGCTGCTCGGTGCCTGAGGGCCACTTATCGGGCCAGTTGCTGGACTTCAGCGGTACTGGGACCCTGTCCGAGACTTACCAGTACCAGGTATGTCTGACAGGAGGTTCTGGGGCCAGCGAATTCAAGTTCCTGAAACCAATTATCCCCAATCTTCCACCCCAGAGCACTGAGATTCGAGAAGTGGAAGAAAATCTCTCATTTCAGAATAATTTGGGCTTTTGATAAGAAATTAAAAATAAGTGATACTGTGTCTCTAAACATATTCCTACTAAGAAATTTCTTCTGAGGCACCTGTGAGAAAGAGAAAGAGCTCTCAGATTATTCCAAGTACTCTGCAAGTCCAAGAATGATTTTCTTTACACAGAAAGGGATCCAGCGTCAGCCCTACAAAGCATGGAATTTTCTTGCATCATATTTTATTTTAAACAATTATGTTTAATGCCCAGTGTATTACATAATAAATCTTGTCGAGACAATTTAAATTGCTTTTTTTTTTTGTCTTCCATCTTTATCCCTCTTCTTTAATTTTCTGAGCTGATTAGAGTGCTGTACAAGCATGCATACAGTAAATTTTGAAAGCACAGATTTTAGGATTTTTAAACTTTAATAATTTTAGCATTTCCTATGCATCATACACTATTTTAACACTTTAGACTTCAAAAGTAAACCCACAAGGGGAGAATGTTCTAAGAGAGGTAAAGAATGTTCCTAAAGGTTCAGTAAGTTCACTGAGCTCACCAACTAAGTGGGAAAGCTGAGTATCTCTCCTTAGGTCTGTCTGACTCTAGGCCAGTGACTTTGTCGCCACGCCTCACTGAATTCTGTCAGCATATTTTAGCACATGCCAAATTTCCCTCTTAGCGGTGGAGAAGAAATCTTTCTCTCATGTTCATACTCCTGTTCAGAGATTTACTGAATTCACAAACAATAATGTATGTACTGGTCTATAGTTTGTATTTTCTTATAGACCAACTGTCCAGCTTTTCTGAATCAATCAATTATTATTAATGCTCCAATCTAGCCAAATTTCAATTTTAAAAGATTGAAAGATCGACTTACACTTTATTTTTGTTATCTGAACAGTTACAGTTCACTTCACAGAAAAGATGAGTGCTCATGAATAGGATCATTATATAATTTTTATTGCACATTGGTTTCTGTGTTTTCCATACATTTCAGTAATCTTTCTACAGTATTCCTTACCTACTTGTGTAATATGTTTTCCTGCTTTAACTGGAAGGTTTATTTTATAAGAGTTTCACACTCCATATATTGCAATACTAAATCAGGAAATTATAAGAAATCAAATAGTTTTGGATATGTAACATTAAAGAAAAACATCCCTAAATTACTTAAAGATTCTGGGAGTTAATGAGAAGCTCTGTTATAGTAATTTGTAACTCTTGTTTCTTTACAAATTATTCAGGTGATTTTGCAAAGGTGTATTCTGAAAATATTACAGACTGATCATGGTGGCTCTAAACTAGTAGAGGTAGTCCTGACTTATGATGGGGTTGCATTCCGATAACTCTGTCACATACAGGTTCTGAAGTAAGTCAAACACTTTTTTTTAAAATTTGCATAGCCTGTTTGAGGCAGTGTTTTGAACAGTAGTAAACCATAACACTGAACATCTGCAAATGAACATCTGAGAATGATAACATCAGCAAATTTTACCCTGCAACATTGTATGTAGTACATATTACTTGGGAGCTCTGGTAACATAGTGCCCAAGGCACTTGACTGCTAAGCAGAATGCTGGCAGTTCAAACCCACCAGCCACTATTTAGAAGGAAGGTTAGACAATCTACTTCCGTAGTGATACTGCCTTGGAAACCCAAGGAGGGGTCGCTATGAGTCGGGTCCAACTCCACGGCACATAACAACAACAACAACAACATTATTTACACCTATATTCAATTTTCTCCAGTTCTTTCTAAGTTGTTTTTGTTGCTTTGTGAATCAAGATCCAAACAGGTCTACAGATTACACTGGGTTGACATATCTCAGAGCAACCACTCCTTGGGTTTCCAAGGCAGTAGATTGCCTCATCTTCCTTCCGAGGAGTGACTGATGGATTTGAACCGCCAGCCTTCTGGTTAGCAGTCAAGTGCCTTAGGCAGTATGCTACCAGAGCTCCTGGTACCAGAGCTCGATTCTTTAGAGAAATTCATTTTTTTACTGACAACTTACAATAAGTGCCAAGTGTTTTTAAAGAGTTTACTTTTTGCGAGGTATGATTCTATGAATAGATGAGTAGGTAAAGTTGATTTAAAAGGTTAAATCTGTCAGTTTCCTCATTTGTAAAAGGAGGGGCGATTCACAATAACCCTATGTGGTAGGTACATTTATTATCCTCACCTTACAGATGAGAAATTTGAGCCAGAGAGACTAAAAACTAGTCCAAGGTCCACAGCTAGTATGCATTCTCACAGTTCATGATAATAGAAGTATATAATTTCTGTGTCACTCCCATTATATTTTGAAAATTGTTCCTGAATATATTCTTTCTTCCCAACCAGGAAGTAAACCAAGTATCTTTTTTCTGCTCAGAACTCAATAAATAATAGAATCCCTTCTACTGAATAACATTTCTCTTGTGTGGTCCTCAGGCTCTTGTCTGTGCAGTAAGTGCAGGTGTTAATAGTGTTGTACCCTTACCTACCCGGTAGTACATACCTTACAGAGTTGGAAACAGTGCATTCATTTCCATCCCAGAATATGTAAGATCCTGTTAGGACACATGGTGGCGCTGCAGGATAAGATGGTACGAACTGGAACCGCAGCTCTGACTCCATTAACAGGCAAAATTTAGGGACAAAGCCTGGAAGCCCACGGGAAGCTTGGACACCAAGGAAGGAGAACTGGGAGGTGAAAGGGCTCGTCTCCAGAATATTTCCAAGGTATCTGCTGGATTAATCAGTCTCAGACACTGGAGTGTTACACTTCCGCAAATCCATCCATTCAGGACGCTGTACCAAGCAAGGACAATGGAAGCCAGCAGGAAACTCATTTGCAGACAAAGGCAAGTCATTTCTTTCTTTATCCTCTTGAGTTTATCTCTGGTGGGAGCGGAACCTAGGCGCTATTCTGTAGTGGAGGAAACTGAGGGCACCTCCTTCGTGACCAATGTAGCAAAGGACCTGGGTCTGGGGCGGAGGGAACTCTCCAGGCGGGGTGCTAAGGTCATTTCCAAAGGGAACAAACTGCGTTTGCAGCTCGATCCGGAGACCGGGGATTTGGTTCTAAATGAGAAACTGGATCGCGAGGAACTGTGCGGTGACACAGAGCCCTGTGTGCTGCGTTTCCAGGTGTTGCTAGAAAATCCCTTAGAGTTTTTTCAAGCTGAGCTGCAAGTAATAGACATAAATGACCATGACCCAGTGTTCTTGGACAGAGAAATATTACTGAAAATATCAGAGAGCAGTGCTCCTGGGACTACATTTCCTCTGAAGAATGCCCAGGATGCAGACGTAGGTCAAAATAATATTGAGAATTATATCATCAGCTCCAACGCCCATTTTCGGGTCCTTACCCGCAAACGCAGTGATAACAGGAAATACCCAGAGCTGGTGCTGGAGAAAGCATTGGATCGAGAGGAGGAACCCAGGCTCAGGTTAACCCTCATGGTCCAGGATGGTGGCTCTCCTCCCCGGTCTGGAACAGTCCAGATGCACATCGAAGTCATGGACACCAATGACAATGTTCCTGAATTTGAGCAGCCTCTCTATAGGGCGCTGGTCCCTGAGGACAGTCCCATAGGCTTCCTGATTGTCAGGGTCTCTGCTACTGACAAAGACATAGGAGCCAATGGAGAAATTTCTTATTCCCTTTTCCAAGTTTCAGAGGAGATTAGTAAAACTTTTGGGGTAAATCCCATGACAGGAGAAATTCGGCTCAATAAACAACTTGATTTTGAAACAATTCAGTCCTATGAGGTCAATATGGAGGCCAGAGATGCTGGAAGTTTTTCCGGAAAATGCACCGTTTTGGTTCAAGTCATGGATGTGAATGATAATGCCCCAGAAATCTCCATTTCTGCATTTACCAGTCCGATCCCCGAGAACTCTCCTGAGACTGTGGTTGCCGTTTTCAGCGTTTCAGATCTTGATTCCGAAGAAAACGGAAGATTAGTTTGCTCCATTCAAGATGATCTACCGTTCCTCCTGAAATCTTCTCTAGAAAACTTGTATACTCTGGTAACAGACAGACCGCTGGACAGGGAGAGTCGATCTGAGTATAATGTCAGCATCACCGTCACGGACTTGGGAACCCCAAGGCTGAAAACACAGGTCAATGTAATCATACTGGTATCTGACGTCAATGACAATGAGCCCACCTTCGTCCAAACCTCTTACACCTTGTTTATCCGCGAAAACAACAGTCCCGCCCTGCACTTCGGCAGCGTCAGCGCCACAGACAGAGACTCAGGCACCAACGCTCAAGTCACCTACTCTCTGCTGCCGCCCCAGGAGCCGCACCTCCCCATCTCCTCCTTGGTCTCCATCAACGCGGACAACGGGCACCTGTTCTCTCTGAGGTCGCTGGATTACGAGGCCCTGCGAGCCTTCGAGTTCCGTGTGGGCGCTGTCGACGCAGGCTCCCCGGCGCTGAGCAGCGAGGCCCTGGTGCGCGTGGTGGTTGTGGACGACAACGACAACTCGCCCTTCGTGCTGTACCCGCTGCAGAATGGCTCCGCGCCCTGCACCGAGCTGGTGCCCAGGGCGGCCGACGCGGGCTACCTGGTGACCAAGGTGGTGGCTGTGGACGATGACTCAGGCCAGAACGCCTGGCTGTCCTACCAGCTGCTCAAGGCCACGGAGCCCGGGCTGTTCAGCGTGTGGGCGCACAGTGGCGAGGTGCGCACCGCCAGGCTCCTGAGCGAGCGCGACGCGACCAAGCACAGACTCGTCGTGCTGGTGAAGGACAATGGTGAGCCGCCAATGTCAGCCACCGTCACGCTGCACGTGCTCCTGGTGGACGGCTTCTCGCAGCCCTACCTCCCGCTCCCGGAGGTGGCCCCAAACGAGGCCCAGGCCGACTCGCTCACCGTCTACTTGGTCATGGCGCTGGCGTCGGTTTCGGCGCTCTTCCTGTTCTCGGTGCTCCTGTTCGTCGCGGTGCGGCTGTGCAGGAGGAACAGGGCGGCCCCGGTGAATAGCTTCCCAGTGCCTGAGGGCCACTTTCCGGGCCACGTGGTGGAAGTCAGTGGGACAGGGACCCTGTCCCAGAACTACCAGTACGAGATCTGCCTGACTGGAGACTCTGGGAACAGCGAGTTCAAGTTCTTGAAGCCGATTTTACCCAATTTCCAGAGCCGTTCATCTGGGTCAGAAATAGAAGAAAACTCCAATTTTAGGAATGATTTTGGTTTCAGTATTAAGTGATAGTAATTGTTTTTCATATTCCGTATGTTATAAAATTTCATGGTAAATTCATGATAATGATGGGTTTTGGGCCAACCTATTATTGATTTGAAATTGCACCAAACTTGCTTGTAAGATTTATATTATCCATATGTTTTAAAAATTGTGTCTTATCTTTTCTTCATGTCTATATAAAGATAACGGTCCTGAATCTTGCCTCTTGGAGCATGCATGAAGTCAATGTTTTCACAAACCCTTGTTCTAGAATAACTGGAGAATGTGTTAAGAAAAAAACAACTGGAAAATTAACTCATCATCAGCTTTCTTTTCATGGAAACTTTTTCCACTAGTTGTAAATTATTGGGTACCTGCAGAATAGTGGTGCATTAACAGTGACATTGAAGTATGCCTAGTTGGGAAGGAAAGAAAACTTGTGCAGAAAGAATGCCTGGTTCTTGCCTTATGCAGCCATCTTAGTCATAAAATTCTTTAAAATAGTTTTTCCTTAAAATGTTATGCCAAAAATATGATGCTAGTTGTGCATCCTTTCATTAATATACCCATGTTGGTTCTAATATAGCTTTTAAATGGTTTCTCAATTATTTTAATCAGTTTTCAAAGAGGAAAACATGCTGCACTGTGTATATCCTATAAGATGACGCAGCATGGTAGTGAAAGTGACTTTTCCCATTTTTAGAAACATTAAACATAAATTGTCTGTGACAGAAATTGCAGTAGCCACCCAAGATCCATGAATCATTTTTTCTTTTGTAATAGATTTCAAATATTGTTCAGGACATTAATGTGTCTAGTTGGAAGAACAAATTTTCCAGCTTCCTTGACAGCCATGACTGGCTATACAATTAATTAGGTTATGGTCCATGGGATTATGTGCAAATGTTATGGGAGACTTCCAATTAGTCTACTTAAAGGGAGATGATGTATCTAGGAAAACCAAAACAAACTCACTGCTATCCAGTTGATTGCAACTCACATTGGTTCCCAAAGCTGTAAATCTTTATGGGAACAGATTGCCCCAACTTTCTTTCATGAAGTGGCTGGTAGGTTCAAACCAATGACCTTTTGGTTAGCAGCCAAATGCCTTAACCTCTATGCCACCACAGCTTTTTTCCCCTTCTCTAACTGCTTCTTAAGGAGCTCTGGTGGCATAGTTGTTAAAGCATTCATCTGCTAACCAAAAGATGGGTGGTTCAAACCCGCCAGCTACACCTCTGTAGAAAGATGTGGGAGTCTGCTTCTATAAAGATTTATAGCCTCAAAAACCCTATGGCTCAGTCCTATTGTGTCCTGTGGTGTCACTATGAGTCAGAATCGATTCTGACTGGCTTTTGCTTTGGTTTTTGAAACTACTCGATGCTGCCTGAAATGTGGATGTCATGACTGGTGCACAAAGCCATGCTGGGCCATGAAGGAAACTTAGTGATGTAAATAATGGACTAAAACCATGTTGAATAAACTTAGAAGGAACAAAGGGAACTGATGATAATGAATTTATCACATCATCCATAGATTATCTTCTTCTGAACTCATTTTACTTAAGAAACAAAGCCTTCTAACTCATTTATTGTCTCACTGCTTTTCATACAATTTTCCAGAAATATGTCAGACAGCGTTTTTTTGCTAATCATAAGGTATCCATTGGCCAGGTTTTTCAGAAGTAGATGGCCCCATCCTTCTTTCCAGTCTGTCTTAGTCTGGAAGCTCCATTGAGACCTGTCCACTATGGGTGACCCTGTTAGTACTCAAAATACTGATGGTGCATAGCCTCCAGCCTCACAGCAACACAAAAGCCACCATAGTACAACAGACAGATCAGCAGTGTCACTTAAATCAATACCCATGGAGGCGGTGGTCAAGAGATCAGACATCATGTTGCGCTGGGCAAATCTGCTGCAAAAGACCCTTTAAAATGTTGAAGAGCAAAGATGTCACTTTGAGGACTAAGGTCCACCTAACCCAAACCATAGTATTTTCAATCACCTCATATGCATGTGAAATCCGGACAATGAATAAAGAAGATCAAAGAAGAATTGATGCCTTTGAATTGCTGTGTTGGCGAAGAATACTGAAAATACCATGGACTACCAGAAAAACAAACAGATCTGTCCTGGAAGAAGTGCAGCTGGAAATCTCCTTAGAAGCAAGAATGGCCAGACTTCGTCTCACCTACTTTGGTCATATTATCAGAAAGGACCATTCCCTGGAGAAGAATATTGTCCTTGCTAAAGTGGAGGGTCAGTGAAAAAGGGGAAGACCATCAACGAGATGGATTGACACAGTGGCTGCAATGATGGGCTCAACCATAACAACCATTGTAAGAAGGGCATAGCACCAGGCAGTGTTTCATTCTGTTGTAAATAAGGTTGCTATGAGTTGGAATCCATTCGATGGCATAACAATAATATAACAGCAACATCTCATTTAAGCCACAATTATTTTAGCTTTTGTGGTACCTCCAGTGGAATCTAATCCTAGTTGTTGTTTTACAGTGAGCTTTAATAAGATGTTACATACATACACGAAAATGCACAGATCTTAAATAGACAGTTTGACTGACCTGATCTTTCATTCTAATTCAGTTAAAAGTTGTGCCCAAGTGCTTCATATGCATCATCTTTTTACTCCTGTGCCAAAATCAATGGAGGTTAGCATGGTATAGTGCCTATTTGACTGCTAACCAGAAGGCTGGCAGTTCAATCCACCGGCCACTCCTCAGAAAGAAGGTTGAACAATCTACTTCCATAGTGATATCACCTTTGAAACCCAAGGAGGGGTCGCTATGAGTTGTATCTAACTCGATGGCAGTTGAGTTTGATTTTTGGAGTTCGCATACAAGGAAACTGAGGCTTAGAAAGGTTAAGTAACTTGCTCAAAATTCTGAAAAATATGGGTGTGGTATTTTAAATTTAAGTCTGTTTGACTTCATTGTCCTAATTCTTAATCAATATGCTATATTGTTGACATTAACTGATTACATTGTCTTCATAACTAAGGAAATAAAATCCATCAATTATTCCTAGTGCTTCTCTATAGCCTGAACTCTCATGTAGAAATGAAACTTACAGCCTGTAGTTTGCATTTATTTCTTTACCGAAGCCTCACTGCTCTGGACCAATAACACCAAATTTCTTACAGAAGCACCAGCCTAAGTAAGCTGGATCAGACACCACAATTTCTCTTCATCATGAGAGAATAAGCCTAATTATCTTTCTGCATCTTTTCAACATACGACATTCATTATTGCAGATATGAGTATCTTGAACAGGGAATGAAGCTACCCTATGATTTTATTTATTGAATTTGTTTTTTGTATTCTTTCTTTATCTTTTTCTGTCAACTCAATATTATATCTTTCTATTTTCTTTAGAAAGTTAAAACTTTACGATATGCATTTTATAAGTTACTTATTCAAACTAAATATACTGTATTCATTTTAACATTCCATTTGTTTGAAAGCTGTTGCTATTCTAGTACTGATTCTAAATGTAATATAGTAATTAAGTTCATAGAAATATAGGCAATGTTCTGGAGGAATTTTTATCACTAAATAACTTAGAGATTCTTGAAATTTAATCAGAAAAAGCTGCTCGGCTTCAGTTGTTTTTTTTTTTTTTTTTTGTTAAAATGAGTCGTATATCTTTGGTAACTCCTCTTAAAATTAGGATGAAAAAATACATGTACAGGTCATTTAAGTCACTTTGGTCTGAAGAATAACCATAGTTGAATCAGGCATTCTTCAGCATTTTCTTTTCTAATACTTTTCCTATAAAGGGTGTTGAATTTTTATTTACTCGGGTGGTAGTGCATGAGAATCTATATGTGTTAGCTTTCCATTGCTGATGTAAAAATTTATCCCAACCTCTGTGGCTTGAAACAAATTTATTAGCATATAGTTCTTAAGGTCAGAAGTCTGACTCGGGTCTGACAGTAAAGGTGTCAGCAGAGATCCATTCCTTTCTGGGGACTCTCAGGAAGGATCTGTTTCTTTGCTCATTTAGCTAAAAGCTACCAACATTCCTTGGCTCATAGCGTTCTTCCCCCATCTTCAAAGTCAGCAGTGTTGCATCTCTCCGACCATTCTGCCACAGCCTGGAAAGTATTCCACTCTTTTTGATTCCATATGATTAAATTGGACCCACTCAGATAATTTAATTTCCCCTTCCCAAGGTCTTTAATTTAAGCACATCTGCAACTTCCTTTTTGCCATGTAAGGTAATATATTCATGAGTTCTGGACATTAGGATGTGGACATCTTTGAAGCACCATGATTCTGCCTACCATAGTTTGGCTGGTTGAAAGAGAATTATCCAGTCCAATAGTACCTTCTGTGGTCAAAGGAGGGTATGTGAAGGTCTTCATGCCAGGGACTTAGGCCTTATTGATTAGGTGTTTTAATTTAGACAAGGCAATTAACCCAAAACCCATTGCCATCGAGTTAATTCCAACCCACAGTGACCCTGCAGGACAAAGTAGAACTGCCCCATAGGGTTTCCAAGGCTGTAAATCTGTATGGAAGCAGACTGCCTCATCTTTCTCCCATGGAACAGCTGGGATTTGAACCTCTGACCTTTTGGTTCACAGCCTAATGCTTTAACCACTATGGGATCAGAGCTCCTTAGGCAATTAACAGAGTTCTAAAAGTTATTAACAAAAGCAATGACTTAATAAAGATACCATGAATCTTTAGTACAATTCAATTAAAATATGGAAATGTCTCAACAAAAGAATCCAAAATAATGGTGGCTCAATCTTAAGATCTACGTATTTGGCAAGTAATTTTTCATACTTTGGGAAAACTCACAGTTCTTATGCTTAGGTGGTGGAAAGAAGAGGAAGTAATCAACTCTTTAAGAAGCATTGGTCAAATACTATCTTTAGAACTGCCATTGGTTGCAATTTACAGTATCCACTCATTTGTAAATCCATAGTATGTTATATATATATATATATATATATATATATATATATATATGGTTGTGAAACTATTCTTATTACTTCAGAAACATTTTGCTCCTATATTTTTCTGATTTATGTTAATTAAATTATTTTATTTAATTACCCAATATCTCAACAACATTGAACAGTCAATAAAATGTGAAATCATTTGCTTTTGTATTTTTACCTGTGCAATAACCAAGAGCTCTATATGAACACATAAACATGACATGAAAATAGAACTCAGTGTTTTGCATTACAAAGCACCGTTTACCTTGCCTATTGAGTATAGTTAGGAGAATTTTGCCTTCAGTGTTAAACTAGAAAATGTAAAACACAGTGAGAACACATGGTGGCGCTGCAGGTTAAGATGTTGGAAAGCAGAATTGCCTCCATAGCTCCAGTACCAGCCTCCCTACGCAGCCAAACTCACCCGTCCCGGAAGCAAAAGAAAAGCTTTCTCAGAGTGGATGTGAACGTCTTAAAAAATCTATTCAGCTGCATATTCTGAGATTCCGGACTGCAAGACTGCGCTCCCAGAATCCTGGCCGTCCATGAAACTCTTGTGAGCAAAATTTGCAGGAAAAGAACAATGGAGATTGGATGGATGCACAATGCGAGACAAAGGCAAGTCCTAATTTTCTATGTTTTGCTCGGGTTGTCTAGGGCGGGCACCGCGTTGGGGCCTTATACAGTGGTGGAAGAAACGGACAGAGGTTCCTTTGTGGCAAACCTAGGGAAAGACCTGGGGGTGGGGTTGACAGAGCTCTCCACCCGAGGGGCCCGGATCATCTCCCAGGGGAACAGAGAGCACTTGCAGCTGAAGGTTCAGACCGGGGATTTGCTCATAAATGAGAAACTAGATCGAGAGGAGCTATGCGGCCCCACTGAACCTTGTGTACTACATTTCCAAGTGTTAATGGAAAAGCCCTTAGAGATATTTCAGGCTGAACTGAGAGTGAGAGACATAAATGACCACTCTCCCATATTCCCCGAAAGAGAAATGATTCTAAAAATACTAGAAAACAGTCCTCTAGGGAATATGTTCCCTCTCAAAAACGCTGTGGACTTGGATGTAGGAAGCAACAATGTTCAGGAATATAACATCAGCCCCAATTCCCATTTCCGGGTTCTAACCAGCAACCGCAGTGATGGCAGGAAGTACCCTGAGCTGGTGCTAGATAAAGAGCTGGATCGGGAAGAGGAGGCTGAACTCAGATTAACCCTCACGGCGCTGGATGGCGGCTCTCCGCCCAGGTCTGGGACTTCTCAGGTCCACATCGAAGTCGTGGACATAAACGACAACGCCCCTGAGTTTGAGCAGGCTCTCTATAAGGTCCAGATTCCTGAGGACAGCCCCATAGGCTCCCTAGTTGTCACCGTCTCTGCCAGTGATTTAGATAGCGGACTCAATGGAAAAATATCATACACACTCTTTCAGCCTTCGGAAGATATTAGCAAAATTTTGGAGGTGAATCCTATCACCGGAGAAATTCGACTGACAACACAAGTAGATTATGAAACAATTCTGTCTATTGAAGTGGACATCGAGGCCACGGATGGCGGAGGTCTTTCGGGAAAATGCACTCTTCTCCTGCAGGTGGTGGATGTGAATGATAACGCCCCGGAAGTGACCACGTCTGCACTCACCAGCCCCATCCCAGAGAACTCACCTGAGATTGTAGTTGCTGTTTTCAGTGTTTGGGATCCTGACTCTGGGGACAACGGGAAGACAGTATCCTCCATCCAGGAGGACCTTCCCTTTCTTTTGAAACCTTCCGTCAAGAACTTCTACACTCTAGTAACCGAGAGAGCACTAGACAGAGAAGCAAGAGCTGAGTACAATATCACCATCACTTTCACAGATTTGGGGACGCCCAGACTGAAAACCCAGTGCAACATAATGGTAGTGGTTTCCGACGTCAACGACAACGCTCCAACTTTCAATCAAAGCTCCTACACCTTGTTTGTCTGGGAGAACAACAGCCCAGCCCTGCACATAGGTACTGTCAGCGCCACAGACAGAGACTCAGGCACCAACGCTCAAGTCACCTACTCCCTGCTGCCGCCCCAGGACCCTCACCTTCCCATCGCCTCCTTGGTCTCCATCAACGCGGACAATGGGCATCTGTTCGCTCTGAGGTCGCTGGATTACGAGGCCCTGCGAGCCTTCGAGTTCCGCGTGGGCGCGGTCGACGCAGGCTCCCCGGCGCTGAGCAGCGAGGCGCTGGTGCGCGTGGTGGTTGTGGACGACAACGACAACTCGCCCTTTGTGCTGTACCCGCTGCAGAACGGCTCTGCGCCCTGCACCGAGCTGGTGCCCAGGGCGGCCGAGGCGGGCTACCTGGTGACCAAGGTGGTGGCAGTAGACAACGACTCCGGCCAGAACGCCTGGCTGTCCTACCAGCTGCTCAAGGCCACAGAGCCCGGGCTGTTCAGAGTGTGGGCGCACAATGGCGAGGTGCGCACCGCCAGGCTCCTGAGCGAGCGCGACGCGACCAAGCACAGACTCGTCGTGCTGGTGAAGGACAATGGTGAGCCCTCAATGTCGGCCACCGTCACACTGCACGTGCTCCTGGTGGATGGTTTCTCGCAGCCTTACCTGCCGCTCCCGGAAGTGCCCCTGGATGAAACCCAGGCCGACTCGCTCACCATCTACTTGGTCACTGCGCTGGCGTCGGTTTCGACGCTCTTCCTGTTCTCAGTGCTTCTGTTTGTCGCAGTGCGGCTGTGCAGGAGGAACAGGGCCGCCTTGGTGGGTCGCTGCTCGGTGCCTGAGGGCCACTTTCCGGGCCACTTAGTAGACATTAATGGCACTGGGACCCTGTCCCAGAGCTACCAATATGAGGTGTGTCTGACGAGAGGTTCTGGGACCAGCGAATTCCAGTTTCTTAAGCCAATTATTTCTTGTTATCCTCCACAGGGCACTACTAGTGAAATCGAGGAAAATTCTAATTTCCAGAATAGCTTTGGGTTTAATTATTGATAGAAGCCCATCTAATAAAGACATTTATTTAATATTTTCTTGATGTTTAGCTAAAGCTTGTATCCACCACCACCAATAAGATATCATTTCATTTCCTCTATCCTTAATTTCCTTCTACTCTATGTATACATGTATATCTTGACATGATTCATGTTACTTCTTTTTCCTAGAACTTCTTAAATTTTTAACACAATGTGTAGCATGTGATACATGTATTTATTATTTGATATTCTTCCTTTTATTTTCCCTTCAAAACTGGTATTATTGTTGGTTTATCATCCATGGTTTTCCTTATAACAATTTTTTCCTAACTGTGTCAAGTTCTTACACAAAGTTTTATTGTCACTTTAGTGGTATGTCCTTATTTGGAATGTTTCTATTATGAATTATTTGAGAAATAAATAACTAACCATGCTTTTCTAAAAATAAGAAGAAAATCCATTGTAAGTGTGTGTATGTGAATTTAAGTTTGGAGGGGATAAAAAGCAAAGCTTAGACATTCCATAACATCATATGGAAATCTTTAATAATTTATTGCTTTTAATTCAAAAAAAAAAAAAAAACAGAGGTCCTTGTTAAGTTTTTAATAACTGGCTAACAAGTTCCTTCCTGTTTGTTTGTTTTGTTTTTTTAAAAAAAGCTCAATAGAAATTAAGTAGAGGATTATATAGTGTGGTTTTTATAGTCAAGAATTAGAGTGTTGTTTCCATGGTATCTAGCGTTCCCCAGTATATCTCTTCATTTGAATGATATCTCTTGCTTATTGTAGGGTAAATAGAGCTCCCTAATAACTATTATGCCTTTGAATAAATTTCTATGTGAAGCAGATGTTCCAGTGTTATTCTTACTTTCAAAAGTGTTAGGATAGGCATTAGTCTATTCTTTACTACCTTTAGTCAGTGCAGAGAAATTTGATCCCACTAGATTTCCATTTAGACCAAAAAAAAAAAAAAAAAAAGCAAACAAACTCACTGCTGTCAAGTGGATCCTGACTCATAGTGATCCCTCCTTGGGTTTCTGAGGTGGTATCACTATGGAAGTAGATTGCCCAACTTTCCTTCTGAGGAGTAGCTTGAACTGCCAGCCTTCTGGTTAGCAGTCAAATGCCTTAGGCACTATGCCACCCAAGGTCAGACACTTATTTTACTCTGCAAGTAATTTAAGGCTAATATCAGAAAAACAAGATGAAATCAAAAGAACAGGAATAGAAACTGCAGTGAGTGATGGACGTATAGACTAAGAATGAATAAATGGTAGAATACAGTGTTCAAATGATAGGGATTGAAGGGCACTGAAAATTGTTTCATGTTTACTTACCAGAGTTTATTCATGCCTGCTCTAATTCAGCATGCATTTAGTGAGCATCTTATGTGCCAACAAAGATGATGAAGACATAGTTCTTGTGCTTTAGTAGCTTACATATTGAAGAAAGGATGAACTGGCATGAAACAAGAAGCAAGATATTTACATACACTTTGATGAGAACACGGAGTAGGGACAGCCTAAATGCTTTCTGAACTGGTCTGTGTAGCAATGATTCTGTTTGGGCAATGTAATAAGATTTGGAAGAAGTTTGTTGAATGAAGAAGGTGTGAAACAAGTTTCTTTTGTCAGTTTAGGTGTTCCTGTGCCCAGTGTTCCTGGAAAAGTAAAATCTATTATGTTTATAGTGCCAGAGATCACCATAATTACCCCTCTGGTTCCTGACATTGCGTGGGAGTTGTGTCAGGAGTTTAAATGCCTGAAAAGAGCAAAATCTAACACTATTGTGGACATTACCGGTAGAAATATCTTCAAGTTATAACATTTGAATTTTCCCATTAAGCAGTGAAGAATCCAAACAACGTGAATAGTTCTCTATTTCAGCATTCTTAAAAAAAAAGAGAAGAAAGAAAAAGAAAAATGAAAAAAAAAAAAAAA